CGGAAAAAATCTTTCAATTAAAAAATTACTATTCCTCATTTCAACACTATTCTTTCTATATATTCTTTTTTTTCTTCATAAACTATAATTTTAGGAAAATCGCAATCATACATTATTTGAACTTTTAAGAACATTTTGAAAATAGCATTAAAAAAATGTTGCAGCGATGAAAAATGAAGTCTTTAAAAAAAGGAAACACATTAAATTGAATGTTCTAAAATTATTCTCACAACATACTCTTAAAGTTAATAGATGAATTCAATTGTGCCGCAATTACATAAATGTTTCAGAAACATTTTGAAAATGTTTCAAAAAATGTTACAAAAACTATAATTAAAATGTTTGAATTGTAGAGAAAATAATTATTTTAGTTAATGTTTTAAATAAACATTTTCACTGCCTAGGCCGAAAAATATCCGGAATTAAATGTTTATAACTAACAGCGATATTAAGAATGTTTTAAAAATATTTTTAAAATGTTCCTTACAATTGTTTCAGAAACGTAAGGGCAATGTTTCCGTTTTACAGAAAAAGAATGTTTCATTTCATGTTTTAAGAACGTTTTTAAAACGTTTTATAAGATCTTTAATATTTTGAAGCTATACATACCCTTAGAATAATTTTAAGAAAAATTTTCCTTAAATGAATTAAGAATGTTTCAAAAACATTAAATTGACAACGTTCCTTCCAAATGTTTCAGAAACGTACTCATGCAATGTTTCAGATTTATGGGAAAGGAATGTTTCATTTCATGTTTTTAGAACGTTTTTAAAACGTTATATAAAAATCTTTGATATTTGAAAGTAAAACATACCTTTTGAAACATTTTTAAAACGTTTCAAAAACATTTTATAAAAATGTTTCAAAAGGATTTAATTATAAGCTTCTTGAAAACATTTTAAAAATGTTTTTAAAATGTTATAAAGAGAAGAGGAAATGTTTTAAAAATGTTTTTAAAATGTTTAGTCTGAAATGTTTCGAAAAAACCTTTTTACAACACCAATAAAATGTTTTGAAAATGTTTTGTGCTACCTGGGAGCTGATCCAAGGGCCATGAAATTCGCTCTATTGGAAGAGACACAATTGCTTCATCATATCTATACATTAAGTTCGTTGTTTTAAAACCCAGAAGCAGTGAAGAAGATTTTCAAAGAATTAATGCACGTTCACTATATAATCTATAAATCCCCGCCGTAGCGTTATAAAACCCTTGACTCTGGGGCCATGAATTTAATAATTTTGGTTGAGGACTCACTGCTAATTACAATCATGCCAACAGTTTAACTGCTTGATGTGCAGGAGAAAGAACAATTTAAAGATTGCATTAATATAAGAGGTTTTTCCCCATCCTTCAGTGCCCGGGGATGGGCCATGAATTTACAGTTTTGTTCCCCTTCACCCACAGATGCAAAATATCAAATTTAGTTGAAATTGGTTCAGTGGATTACGAGAAAATGTTCAAATGTTAGACGACGAAGCGAGCATGAACGACGCACGAAGACGGACGAGAACAGATAGCAATAGGTCATCTGAGTGCCTCAGCTGACTTTAAATGGAATACCCTTCTTCCTTTCTACTTGCAGCTGAAAAAGAAGTGTTATCGGAGAAGGTTTAATGAATTTTCAAATATTGCAAAGTATTTAAGTTCAAAGATATATCTTCATTTATTTCAATTAAATATCCCCTACGATGAAAACAGATTTCTTTTTTAAATATGTGATGAATCACCTTGATTCTTGTTAGTTCAAAGTACAAGATCAAAAGTGATGGAACTTGACCTAATTTAATGAGGGAAGTGTTTTACGGAACTGTAGACACAATCAATTTTGTAAATATTTGAATAGACGAATGAAATATTCAGTTAGGTTGAATCCAAATAAATTTAACCTTTGCAGTTTGCATTTCCGGAATGCTGTTACATGTATGCAACAACAAAAATTTACGTAATGCAGCCTGAATACAGCACAATGTAGTTTTAAAATGCTTAGATGAATGTAAATGTTCATGTTCCTTAACTATCTTAATTAACCATAATTCACTTCATAGAAATGAAAATTGTTACATTCGTTAAGGTTTTAAATAAGGTCCATTTTGCCTAAAATCCTTTCTGCTTTTTACATGTCTTCACAACTAAGGTCACATATTTTAAGCAAGAGGTTAATTAACTATGTGTGAAGGAAGATTAAGAGTAAGAAGAATTTATACCTTCGGCAAAATAACTAAAAAGGGATACAATAAAACACTTTAAGTTGAAGGCGGAAATAAAATTCAGTTTTTCTTTTTATTCATGGAATTGTTGTGGGTTTCATGTTGTTATAAATCCAAGTTTCAGAAACTTATGAAAGTGTCAATCTCGTGCTAAGCAAATATTTGAACATATTGGAGACATTAAATAATAATTTCATACCAAACCTTCCAATTCATATTTCGGTTAATTTACATACTTTAATTGATGTATGAATCTTGGCATATCTCCATATATTGTAATTATACACTGTTAAACATGCCAAATTCCACAGCAATTATATGAAAACTTAAATCAAAGCATACATCTAGTCGCTGCAATTCGTACAAGAAGAAGAGAATCTTAATACAGTACTAGAAAATGGAATATAAATAATGAAAATAAAATGAAGAGTAATTTTAAAAAGAATACCATATCTTTTGTTTGCCAGCAAAACTTTTTAAAATGTTTTTTTAATGTGCAACAAAATGGGTCATAAAAGCATTTTAATTACCTGTATCATTTTATTCTGTACTGTATTATCATATAACACACAAATAAAATGAGACCATTCACAAAATGAACCATGTTTTACAAAGTTATCTACAACTTGTTAGATCCAAATGTTTTCTTGTACCCGGTATTCTACATATCTCACCTTGATAAAACTACCCGGTTCTGTTGAAGGTTTCATTTTCTTTAAAAGATCTACAATTTTTATCAGCTTCTTCTTGATTTTCTTCTTTTTTCATCTTTTTTTTTACAAATCATAGAGGACCCCTTTTATCTTTTCATTATTCAATCTTTGCTCGTAGTTCCTTCTTTATGACCATTTATACGGAATAACAATGCTCATTTTTCACATTGTTAAATGACTACGCATATGTGGAAAAATTCGGTCAGTTTCTTTTCCACATCTGTCAAAATAATATGAAGAACCATACATCTCCAAAAATGCAGGTGGACGAGGAAATATTTGCATGCACATTTATCAGATGTTATTGCATTTTTTGCAAAAGGCCCTCAATTTACTGTCATGCATGCAATGTTTTGATGAATATCTTGTTTTTCATCCATTCCAAAGATATAAATTGCCAAAAATGGACGAAATTTAGAGGCAATTATGTTGATGGTAATAAATACACACATATTTATATATCAGACACTTTCCATTTTAAGATTAGAATAAAAAACCTTGAGTCTTTGCAAACACGTGATTGCCCAGGGCAGTTCCGCTGCTCAATTTGACCTTGTAGAATTATAATTATTAAGTCTGGTTAAACATGTAGTCATGTAGTTAAACACATAAATGTTCTTATTTGAAAGAAAGGAAGGAATGACCTTGCAAAAATACAAACTTGTCAACAACAAATAGTTCGTGGAAGGACAATGCTATACACAGAAAATAATACCAATAAAACGCAGAAAGTCAATTTGGTCATCGTTTTTTTTTCTTACAAACTAACGCAATAAATTTAACATCGATAGTTTTACAGATGATTAGAAGAATCTAATAAATACAGCAAGAGCTACAACAATGTAACAAATATGTACACTCCTTACTACACATTAAAAAATGGCGTCTTTCTTTTCCATAAAGTCTGAAGTTCTGCCGTATGCATTTTTAAAAAATATTGTAAAATGCACAATGCTCATGTTGTGTTAAAGATTATGTTCTTTAGTTTTTTTTACAGACCTAAATAACTAGATAATGATGAGACTGCTTATTGAATGATTAATTCATAACACTAATAATTCTTAAAAGAATTAGAACATACCATAGTATCTTTAAATTGTGCATTTTATCATATAAACATCACGTACTGTGCTCAATAACCTATTGTCAATTCTTCTACGTAACTTTAAGAAGCAGTCTCTATAATTTTAGAATTTTTTCACTGAAATATATAAATGTACGTGTAATACCGGAGTACCTTTATCATTTAACATACATGTAACTTTAACATATTATGAAGGGCAACCATGCTTAAAAGTCAAATACATTGAGAGACACGGGTCTCTTTAAACACAAAGTTGGGTTATGATGCCAGCATAAAGTCCTTTGTCTTTAAATGAAGAACGGAGTAATCCAATGACAATTAAATAGTAAACTTACCTCACAACGAGATTGTTGATACGATTGTAGCAAAACTTCTTTTTCAGTAACCTATATCTACATCTTCAGTGTAAGCTATCTTCAGCTGACTCCCAGTTTTGCTGATTTTAATTTAGAAAATCTGACAGTAATTGGAATAGGAATCGTTCAAGTTTGATTTTGTATTCTACACTTTAAGAAAATACAGTAATTCTTCATTTCCTTGCAGATCCAAAAAGTTGGCCACTTGTTAAAATTGTACATGTAATACAAATGTTGAAAAAAATTCAATTAATTCCAGCTGTGTTGTATTTCATAGATCTTTATAAATTACTTGTACAAACTGGTACAACGTGTTATTATGAAGAAGGAGACAGTTATCTTTTATTTTCATTCTAGAAATAAAGATTTGAAATAAATTCTGTTTTGATAAACCAGAATATGCAATATTCAGTGTAAAATATTCAGTGAAAACGAAGATGTTATTTTCTAATCATTGATTGCAAATCAAACCTCTTTCTTCTTATTGCCTCTCAAAACTTCAAAATATCGTCATCAATAAAATACTGCTTCACCCTTGAAAGTAGCGTTTATTTTATGCTTAACTGCAACAACCATCCCCAAAAATATAAAAATAATAAACAAGCTAAATATTGAATTCAAGCATTGCAAAGAATTTACTCGTATACATGCATTGCTCTCAACACCCCTTGAAATATATTTGTATGTCTATTTGCTCGCACTTGTTTTTTCGCTAAATCCTATTCTACCAAATTGAAGGGCCTTGTCGAAAGATGAGTAAAGCTGAAGTTTCGTTTTGTTTCCAAGAGGAAGAATAAGTCTTTGCACACAAGTAATTGCCTCCGGAAGTTCTGCTGCACGGTTAAACCTGTTGAACTCTACGCCTATTGGAAGTTCCTGAGCTGGTAAATCATCAAGACCCGTAATGAATTGGAACAGATGTGCAGCCTCTTCATCTATAAAATTTAAACATTATTTTCATAACAAAATATGAGACAAGAAACTGCAATGAAATGAATGAATCTATTGGTACAATACAAAATGGTAGAAGAGCAAAAATAGTCCTCTTGAAATTAAGAGGTAGGCTCAGGTGCCATGAAGAAGTAAGCATCCCCTTGCGACCCGTCAGATACAGTTTACTGATACATGTAAACATGTTAAACTGAACAATTTTTTATCAAAAAAACTTTGAATTGTGAATTGAAACTTGTTTTTTAAGAATTGTAAGAATTGAAAGATTGAATTTTAGTGTAATAAACTAAAACAGAAAACAAAAGCAATCACCTTCCAAATCTTTGAGACATCTTAACGTAAACTTCTTTGCGTCTTCTTCTTCCTTGTCTTGTGGCTGTAATCTTTTTACTTCCGGTAATAACTTTTTCTTGATATAGTCAGCTGTTGTTTTATGCTTGCTTCGACACATGTACAAATGTTCGAAGTCCTGCAGATCTTTTGTACGATCAAGAAAATTCAACACATTTAAACCTTTCTTCAGTTGGTCGTACACGTCTCTTCTTTTGTCGAACAGCTCCCATCGAATCAGAGTTTGAACGTACATCATACGCTTGCTTAGCTAAAATGACAATATTTTCTCACAGTTCATTGTTTATTCACATCATTTTTTTCAAATGATCGTAAAATTTTCCTCACATACTTTTAGAAAATAGATTAATTTAAAAAAAAAACCCAAATATGATGGAATATTTACTTGAATATCAATACTTCTTTAGCAATAGTTATTTTCTCGTTAGTTATGTGTTATACTACACTACATATTATAATAATAAAAAAAGAAGTTGACATTAATATTGGTTTTAATGATTTTTACATGAATTTGAAAGCTGTATTTTAGTATGTGTATTGCTCCTGACAGCTACATGCTTATTAATCAGCTTTATAACTGTAATGTCATTTCAGTGGCTTTGCAGCATTATAATATCGTTGTTATTTCCGACCATAACACCATTATTATCCTTTACTGTGATATTTATTTTTAAATTATGTTGTTATTATATTGTTTACATGTATCAAATCACAGTTCTCGGTGTATGTCATTGTTGTGTACATCTAAAATGTATGTTTGTACATTTAAGAATAAAATTTTGTCGTTGTAATACTTGAAATGACATTAAAAAATAAAAATAAAACAGATTCCGAATTCTTTTTTTTAAAAAATTCATTTGTATTTCTTTTAATTGTACACTCAGTTACAAAAAAAACCTTTAAAGGATAATTATAATTTGATGTGGAAGAGAAAAAATACTTACTGTAACCATATCAGTTCGCGCCCAACCGCAGTTTTCCATGAATCGTTCTTCATCTTCGCTAATGACTCTGTCCAGGTCTTCTTGGCTAGTTGCATTACATATCTTAAAAAATGTCATAAATTATTATTAAATCAATAAATCAGTTCCTTTTTAAAATATAACAATGGCAATAAAGTAGTGACTGGTTTGTTACATCGTGAATAGCCAGAATAGCCATATGGAAGACTGATTTTTTTTTTTACTTTAAAATGACTTAAAAAGTATTAACTTATTGCAATGACAAGTTACCTTCTGAAACGGTTCAATGTAAACTTAAGAAAAAAGTTAAATGAATAAAGAAATGCAGAAACTTGGTAATAAAAATAAAGCCCGCCCGCCCGCGCGCGCGCGCGCGCGCGCGCGCGCGCGCGCGCGCGCGCGCGCGCGCGCGCGCGCGCGCGCGCGCGCGCGCGCGCGCGCGCGCGCGCGCGCGCGCGCGCGCGCGCGCGCGCGCGCGCGCGCGCGCGCGCGCGCGCGCGCGGCGCGGCGCGCGGCGGGCGCGCGCGCGCGCGGGCGCGCGCGCGCGGGCGCGCGCGCGCGCGCGCGCGCGCGCGCGCGCGCGCGCGCGCGCGCGCGCGCGCGCGCGTTTCATTAGATTTATTTTAATATGAAATTTCATGACTTATTAAATTGTAAGGATACTAAAGTTATTTTTGGGCTCGCCAAATTTTGTAAAATTTTATTGTCAGTAATATATTGATAATAATACCAAAACTACTATTTAACAAATGTTATAAATACATATAGTTTTTTTTTGTATAAGCAGGGGCCTTCTATACTTTATTATTTGAACTATACGAGGGTTGTCCCATAAAATCGTGGACAAAGCGTTTTTCTCTAAAAGTAATGGGTGCATTAAGCTGAAATTTTCAGTAAATGTTTATTCATCATATTTAAGTGAATCATAATGTTTTTGATAATATATATTCAAAAATAAAGATTTTATTCTGCTTGAATGTGCCCAAGGTAAGGTCCTACGGCGCACGGTAAAAATAGCAAGGTTGTATTAGAGAAGACATAAGTATTAATTCGTAACAAAAGTTTTCAATACATAAGATTAGGATGAAAATTATCCTAATTCCATTCCTTAATCAATTCTGTCGTCTTTTTAAAAATTTTTAGGCATTTTGGTTAATTTTTGGCAGTTTCTGAAATGGGAAAGTAATAAACACAATACACGAAAAATGGCGACTTTTTATGAACCGCACCGGAGAGCAGTTCAGATAGATTAGGATGTTGTAATGACGCCTTAAGAGACTTTAAATGAATACAGAAGAAAGAAAATATGAAAAATATTCAATCTTTAGTATATAAATGAAATGCAAGTTTTCTTAATAAGTCTTCGTGTCTAGTACAAAACATATTGCCATTTGTTATAGCAAAGGACACTGTCACTGTCGACCGTCGATGTGAGATTCTCTTTTAGTTGAATGATGGTGAGAATACTGTCTGTAACTTGCTAATAAATATTCAGAAGATTTTGCCTTTTGGTTTCTTAACTGGTTATAGATACTCACATATGTAAATCAATAAAATTTCTAAATTTAAGTGGGGCTTATCCAAAAGTTTAGCAAAGATGAAACTTGACGCTGTTTTAACTTTGACGTTATCATCCGTGCGCCGTAGGGCGATACAGTACATAACATAAAATATCACAATTTGTTTACCTATGCATATATCTGTTTGAAATTTGCTATGTATATTCATAATTTATCTACTAAAAAGTGGTGAAAATTTCAGAACGCAGTGATGATTATTTTTCAAAGTAGACAACTTGTCCACGATTTTACGGGACAACCCTCGTACATGTGAATTGTACATGTAAATAACATTAGTACCACTCATTCTTTCATGCATTCTTGTTTATATGTAAAAAAAACTTGTGTTATTTGTATTCATATACCCCAGTTGGGGTCTTTGTCTTAAATAAAAACTTGAAACTTGAAAACTTGAAATGAAACATGTAAGTTACCTGGTTAATATAATCAGTCAGGTATGTATTCACTATGTACAAACTACTTAGTTCGTGTTCAAATTCTCTATCCCTCAAATAGCTCACCAAAAACGGAGGAAAATATGGAAAACCCGGACCTTCAGAAATTATCGAAAGAACCGAAATTTTCCCAAATAAATAAAACATGTCTCCATTTAGCGCTTTTCTGTTGTTTACTGGTAAAAGGTAGCTTCCAGGACCCTCAAACATGTCCAATTGGGGAGATTTAAATTCTTCAAGAATTAGAGTGAAAAATTCCCTGTTTGGACCTCCTAAGTTTGTATAGGGTTCTTCGTTGCTTTCTGTATATAACTTGACATCCAGAGGACTTAGTTCGCTCCCTTTGACTTTGAAATGTGAAAATGCACCCTGGAGAAGATGCGACCGATCAACTTTTAGAATAACTCTTTTTCCAATCTGTTTACGAAGCAAATCTTCTAGCACTGTCTGAAAAGTTTGATGTTCAGCCTGTGAAACTGCCAAAAAAGAAAAAACAATATTTTTGATTTGGCTATATTTTCACTGCTTTAATATTTGATTCTAGACTCATATGCTATTTTCATTGTAATGGATGTTATCGTTTCTGTAAACATATACTTGAACAACATCGACGTATAAAAGACAAAATAGCAGGTTTTTTTTTTTGCTTTTCCAATCATCTTATAGTCTATAACTAGACATTCCCAAAGAGGTTTTCTCCATCCCAACGAGTTTTTCCTGTGTGATTTAAAAGGATTAATAATTTTTGTGCATTATTATGTGTAGTTTATATTATAAACATAGATAAAACAACAATACTTAAAACCGGTAAGAACCTTTCCTATCTCACCCCAAATTTTGTAACTTTATCATTTGGTTTAAAAATTCTAAAATTTATAGCATAAAATGTTATTAAATATTTATTAAAAATTGAGTATTCTCTTTGTGGACTGATTCATATTGGAAAACAAATTTGTTCTCTCGTGCAAAGAGAATGTCGGGGCATAGGTTTGAAATAATTAATGGGAGCTACTTACATCTTTATAAACATTTCAGTTTGCCAGTCCACTCTTTTTTCCATAGACGTTTAGAATTTTGGGGGAAAAATACATTATGTTATCCGACTTACAGTCTAAATTTTAGTTATCAATTCCACAGACAAAGATGCCCATAGAAATACAAGAACAGGGAACTAGATACAACATTTCCATATGGTTGCAACGAACACATTAATAATGTAGGGAATCTTTCAAGCCCACATTGTGCTAGTGTGAATGTGATAGGACTTTTTATCAATAATATACCGGTACGTAGTCAGAACATCGATCATACAGATGATCAAATATACATGCTACCTCTTGATTCTATTAGATGAAGCTAAATATAAAAAATCAGTGATCGATACAAAAAAATCTATCAAAAAAAATTGTAATAAAGAGGGTACAAAACATGAACACTAGATATTTGAGACGTAGGATCAGGTGCTTAGGGGGAGAGAGATACCCTATTAACCAGTAACTCTCGCCGTGAGCCCTATATGTATTGATCAAGGATACAATGCCAACTACATTCAAATCTGGTATAATAAACAAAGGGATTACATTTTCATGCAACAATTCAGCTAAATATTACCCAATTATATGTTATATTTGCTAACAAGGTCATTATAACGACAATAGAATTTACGAAATAATGAAACTTAAACGATGGTATTGATATTCATTTAATATCAACGTATGTTTTGCTTTAAATGTTACATCGAATTCAGAACAAGTTCTTCAGCGGCGAATAAGTTGGGGGACATAAAGCACAGGCACTTGTTTTGGGAATAAATTTTAACCTATAGTATAATAATAACACAAGGTATCTAACTCCAAATTACACGGAGTATCCCCCTCCCTTAGAATCGCGTTCATTTACACTTTCAGAGAAAAGGCAGTGGCAAACTGTTTATACGTATGTCATCTTCGATAATTTATCTACACAACCATATATGGCTTGCTTGTCTTTGTTTTCTTTAATCTCCGTAAACAGCGTCAAAACTCTACTCGCCGAGTAGAAAAGTCGAACTAAACCGTATGTGCTAATCTCGGGCACAGAGAAAAATTAAAGAATGTGTGGGTTTAAAAATTCAATTCCAGATTTTAATATTGCATTGAATAAATAAAATTTCATGGTCTCTTATTTTCCATAAAAACACTACGATGTTTTCCCGGTGTAATTTAAGACACAGATTTTTAGCCAATCAAATTCGAGGTCTAATTCTTTGCCCGAGATATATCTATGGTTGAGTTTCACTTTCCACTCGGCGAGTAGAGTTTTGAAGCTGATTACGGAGTTAAAAGAAAACAAAGACAAGGATGTCAGATATGGTTGTGTAGATAAATTATAAAACATAGGTATAAACAGTTAAATTTCAGGACTCTGAAAGTGTAAATGAGCGCAATTAAAGGGGGTACTGGGTGTAATGCTTTTACCTTGTGTTATTATTATACTATGGGTCAAAAATTTATTACAGAAACAAGTGCCTGTGACATAAACTCTACAAGAAGGCTAAATTGGAATATTACTACATATCTGGTAGATAAGGAAAGTTGCCGATGGAAAAGCTGAAGTCATCTCGTTTGACATACGGTTTAGTTGTTAGTGTTCCTTATCGTCTATAGTCAGCTAGGCATCCGAAAATGAAACAGATGTGGCAGACTCGTTGGTGTCTTTTACTTCAAATTCTTGGGATATATCAAGTCGACATATGTACATGTATGAAAAGAACTATTGTTAAGTGATAAAATATTGACGATATAAATTATCTGAATGTCAAATTAAAGGTCATAATGCTTTTCGCCTTTCATGTAAAAGTTTTTGAAGTAATTCTGCTTCGTTGGAATTTATTAACAAGTTACATAACAAAGGAGCACAAAAAGTGCCCATTTAATTCGAACAGTTTGTTACAAAATCCAGTCTATGAAGAATACATAGAGGAAAGATGAATATGGAATTTATTTCATAAGTGGGACAGGATTTTTTTTTAATATATTTTCACGAGTGCCAAGCACTTGTTTTTCGTCATTAACAAAATTAGTCTCTGATTCTACACACAAATTTATATCCTGAAGTTGAGTTGATTGACAACATTTGCGTATTTAGTCTTTAGAGTCAATGAATGTTGTCCATGGGCAAAAAACATGCTTTTCCATTCGCCGCCTGTTTTTAAATTCCTTTGAAGCAGAATATATTATTAAAAATTTTCCAATCGAGATTTAGGGAAAACACTTGCTGTGGCATTCAACATGACATTCAGAATTCGTATTTTAATTTTATGAAGACTTGATATATCCCAGGGAGCTTGAAATAAAGGAAGCCACAGGGTCTGCAACAACTGTTTCTTATATGGATGCTGTGCTGACTATAGGCAATAAGGGCCAACAAACAACTAATCTGAATGAATGATGAGATGAATTTAAGGTTTTTTTTCTTATTCATATCGTAATATCCTGCAATCATCTGTATATGGGTTTACATCCCCAAATATCTTTCACTCAAGAAGATGTTTTGAGTACTAGATATGTATTTGCATATTTCTGGCTACTGATAAATAAGTTGTGTTACAGAGATTTCAAAGTCAGCATTTCATACATTCTATTTTTGATATAATTACCTTATTGGCAAATTCAACCTATGAATTGCAATGTTCTATACCCAGGCTATTGTTATGCCTTTGTTTAATGGGGACCGGTCGACAGGGAATGCTTACTCCCCTTAGGCACATGATCCCATTTCTGGAATTTCCAGGGGTCGGTCCGTGTTTTATGCCCTGTTTACAGATTATCTTGATCGATCACTGATCGTAATCTTCATCATTTTCATTATTACAAGTGATACCCCCTTCTGGATTGGCGGTGGTATCAATTACATCTTTATAGGTGTGTGGAAGTTAACTCACCTGGTGGGACTTCCTGTTTTGATACACTTTGACCTCCTCCCATGTTTTCATCATTTAGATGTAAATTCGGTTCGTTTGTTCTGAAATGCCTAGAAAATGGGCAACCAGTTAAACATAGGAAATGGATGACATTTTGGTCAAAAAAGAAAAGTTGTTTTCAACACAACTCTTACCATTGATGCTTCTGTCAGAACCCCGGTATGTGTATACATGTGTATATAAATCAAATAAATTTTACACTATTCAACAAGGAACAAAAGCAAAGTTTATTGTCATTTTCATTTTTAACTGAAGACTTTTTGTTTGATATTCATAAATACATTGTTGGTCACTGAACGATACCTTATAGAGGAAATATACAGTCGTACCAACCAAACCACCGAAAAGGAGCAATATACATGACATCAAACGAAGATACGTACCAGGTCGTAAACAAAAATGGAGGCAAAGTTAACGTTGTTTAAATCAAACATTGTCACCCATCGCTGTGTTTACGCCAAAGTCTCCAACTCGTAAATTAGCTTTAAGAGAGGTTCTGTGCAAGATAGGAAGTTTAATATATTCTGCGCGGCAACTTGCCAAAACCTGTTAAAACGCGCAATAATATACCCCTAAAAATGATTTTGAGATATTTAAACCATTTTGATATCATGTTCTCGAAAGATATTGGAGTAGTTTCGTGAATAATCAATAAACTTTCTGGATATGTGTTTATCCGTTACTGTTGCTCGGAATTATAGAGCGAGACGTTTTAAAATGGCACAATTTTAAAAAGAGGTAGGTGTGCATACCCGCATTTACTGTATATCCATGATTTTTCTGCTAATCAATAGAACAAGCTAATTCTATTCAAATACTCAATGTTATTCATATTTCCCCCCAAAAGAATAGAACAATGTTTTTTGCATGACTACACCAAATTTTTAAAGGTAAATTGTTTATCGTCGTCTATCTTTATTTTGTACAGATCTGTTTATTACCACCAATGAAAGATAACTAAGAATGAAGTTCCATTATTGAGTATATGGTTGTTTAAAATGTTTTAGCTGAATGAATCGTGCACCGCTTTATTTTCTTACCTCCTCTGAGATTTATAATTCTTATGTCATCATTCAGACGAGACCTAAAATCCTAAGGACCGACTTCATCATTGTGCATATATTTCTTAAAACACTACAGATATTTTGTTGTTATTATGGGAACGAAGTCTTTGGGTATCTTCCTTTGCATCTGAACAAACAATGACAGTTTATCTTGTCGTAACCTAAATTAACAAATAACAGATACCTTTTTCATGTTTTTAAGAGAAAAAAAAACCGTTGACTTACATGGTTTGAGCAAGACAGACTTAGGATCAGATAAAGGATGGGTGGCGAGACCAGTTCCCATTCCCAGCAAACCAGCGAGAAATTTCAGGTGTAACTTTTTCTTCACTATTATTACTTGCTATAGTAATCTCAATATCAAAATATAAATTCTACGCTGAAAATATATTGAAATGAAATGAATTGATATCAATTACAGGCTGCGTTTAAAAGGGTTGCTGATGTTGCCCATATTCCAACATGTGCAAGTAAGTATTCAGCAACATGGATACAAAAATTGCCATTATTACTCAAGATTCTTTTTATTCAACAAACATTAAATTGAAGATCTAGCTTGTGACGTTTTTGTATGGCTAAACTCTAGGTATTCTTTTTCAATGACATTCAATAATTCTTTTAAAAAGTGATCAAATAGAAAACAGTTCTATGCATGCATGTAGATTGATTGTAAGTCAGTTGTAGAATTTTTCACTCATGTAGAGGTGTCACAATATACCGATAAAGGACTTCAAATTTAAACCTTAACTCGGCACTCAGGGCCATTGAGCAGTGAGCGTTCCTTGTCGTTCCAATGCCTACCGTGACAAAGGCCTCATTTTAAGGTCTCAGCCGAAGGATTTGCAATTTTTACTTCAAAGCGCCGAGCGCTTGGCGAAGGAACAGTTGCACCTCTTATTTTGACTTGGTTCAGTCGCGACCGAGATTCGAATATATACACAAGTTGATACAACCATAGAAAAAGGGAATTGAAAGTCTCAAATTCATATCTTCGATAACATTAATTTTATGAATTCTACTTTTCAGATTTTTGGATGTACAAAGAAAAAATCCGACCCATTCTGGAACACATAATAGGCGGAGAACAGATCAGACAATGCTTCAAAGTCCAGAAATCGGACATGTTCACAACGGCAATGTCACACTACAAAGGCAAAGCCAGTGAAATCCGGAGAAAAAGTGCTACCATTCGTCACGAGGTGCTGATGATTGTCTTTGATGATTCCAGGGAATATGACTATGATGGAGGTGGCTTCAGACGAGAGTTTTACTCTACTTTCTTCCTACAAGCCATCAGAGACAGGGGGCTCTTTATTGGTAATTTTCCTCGACTGGTGCCAAATTTTTCACAGGACAGATTAGACGACTTGACTGCGGTTGGTATTGGTATAGTGGAAGCCATTTTGAATTTTGATTGTGGATTTCCGTACTTAAATCCCGGACTGTTTCATTTCATGGTAGAACATGACGATTATGAGCAGTATCTTACCGTGGAAGACATTCCAAATCCAGAAGTGAAATACCTTGTCGATCAAGTACTTATAATATAAAATTATATTTTTTAATTTGGTAAAAAATTACGAAATAGAGCCTATTTTTAATGTAAATGAAACAATGTTCATATACTTGTACATTGGTAAAGGAAAGTATAATCTGCTCAACTTTGTTTTGAACATATTTCATTGACAATACTTGTCAAAGTGATTGGACACAAGTTCCAAAAATTTAGAGTCCTCTCCCATGATTTTACGTATGTATATGTATGTAAGCATATACTGTTATATACTACAGTGATGTATTTTAACTACTAATTAAGATGCGCAGTGTCTATGCAAATTGTTCATATGATTAAATTATTTCCCTGGTTAATAATTTTAAATCTGCCTTGATAGCTCTTAAAGTGCAGCACCGATGACGAGATAAATGACGTCATTCAAAGTGAAGAAGGGAATGTGGTGGGGCACATTGGCTGGCCAGCGGGCAAACACTTCAACGTAAGTTTCACCTCCTTGTAGCAAAACACTATGAGTCGTAACGGCGTGTACTGTTAACATCGTTCACATATTACATTGCAGATGAAAAGCAGAGAACAACTAATCCAAATGCTGATAAAATACAGCATTATTGATGAGAGACGACCAGCAATAGATGCACTGATGAAAGGACTTAATTATTTGAATTTTCTGGACAAAACGAAGGATGTATCTTTGCTAGAGCCCCTTTTTGTTCATTCTGAAGAATACTCTATTAATAAAGAATATCTGAAGAAAATATTGCTTCCTGCTTTGGAGGGCTTAAATGCTGTCAATGATAAGCTACAAAAGGCCAAGGATTATGCAATACGGTCTGTTAATGAGATAAATGGTGAGTCCACACTTCTAATCGTGGTAAAATTATGTCACTGTTCATCTCATTTTCGACTAAATATTGACAAAAACTTTGTATGTCTCTGCACCAAGTATTGTATTCCAAAATGTTGCTTCTGGTCTGACTCAAGACCTCATAGAACATTCAACTGGATTATATTACAACAGAAAAAAAAATCATATCCAACCATTTGGATTTCAATATTGCAAATGACAATGTGCATGATACACCATGAGGGCTAAAGCATACTGTACAACAAATGTGTCAAAAAAGTAAATCACAACAATTTACCGATTACAAAACCATTACTATCCAATGATCTCATTTGTAGATGAAGAAGCAAGGGCACTTTACCATTTTATCACTGGACTAGCCAGTCCATCTGTGAGCCAAGAGCAACTAAATGCTGAATTCATCATGGCCAACCCACAGCAGAAGGAACCAGAAGCCATGACATGTTTTGAGAAATTAATGATTCCTGTTGGCAACAAAGACTATGAGGAATTTAAGAAGTCGTTTCAACATGCCATTAAAACATTTGAATCACTTGATTGAGCAAGTAACTGATGTATTTAAGATGAAAATTGTCCATGCAAGCCGGCTTCCAAAAACTGTAATTTATCATAACTTCTAATAATGAATGCTGCTAGCATTAAAAGCAATCTAAGTTTTCAAAGATTGCTTCAAATGAACATGAAAGTTTATGGTATGTGTAATTCCCTTACAAGGAATGTTATTAACTACATGTATATTTTTTTCTCTCTTCGCCTGACTGATACATGTACATGTAACTGTGCAGTGAAAGACTGTAATATGTAAAATAAATGCATTATTAAAACATCAAACACAAGTTGGCACAAAAAGAATCAGTTAAATGCATTCAGAGTACGGAAATTACATGTATTGTAATACTAAAAGAATTCTGCTAGTAAGAATTGGTAAAAAAAAAAATTAGGGAAATGCAATCCTTTTAAACATTTTACTAGCAATGAAGATTTGTATAAAAATCTGAGAAACATCTTCTTATGCATTATATATAACATTTGTTATTCTAGTTTGAAACAAAATTGTTATTGAATATGAAAATAATATAAAACATTAAAGTTGTTTATATTAAGCTTCATTCTTGAAGAAGAAAATTACGGTACATAACTAAATACAAGGTGCTTTAAAAAATTCCTATGATAAAACAATAATTAATATACATAAAAATTAAAACCCTTTGCTACAACCTCTCTTTTTTTACAACCAAAAATATGTTAATAAATAAGAGAAAATGTCATTCAAACAATATCTTTGAACAAAAATAATTCCTGTACATACAATAAATAATTCTAATACCACAGAGATAAACCGTTACATGTACTATTTTCTTGGTTCTATTCTTATTTTTTTTTCTTGATATTTTATATTTTTTTAATTAATTGTTTCACATTGCTCTTACTAAATTTTTAATTCACATCTCATCCTCCTCATAACCATGTCCGGGATGGGAACTATCTTATAATTATATGATCCTAATCTCTCCTCAAATAAATGATATATAAAACAGAAATTGTAATGTAAAAAAGAGTTATTTCAGATCTATATTGAAAAAAAGAAGCACTTAGCATATTAGGTTGACAAAAATAATAAATAGATAAAGGCACTTGAATCACACTTTCTGTTGAGTTCCAAGTTCAACATCTTCGAGAAATTCATCATCTCCCGCCCTCAGATTGTCTGTTAGTCTGTCTGTGGAGGCAGTTATAGACAGGACGATCCAAGCTAATATCGCCATACAACAACGGGCTGTGTTGATGTCCCTCCAGGTTGATATATCGTCACCAGCTGATGAAAGTGTTTGATTGGTCTGGAAAGAAGGTATGGCCAGAGTAATATTTCAATTGCAATTTAAAACAACAATTATTTTAAAAAGAATAAGGGACTTCCGACAAAACAGCTGGCAAGAAATCTCCAATTTGTCAAAGCTGAGGAAGAAGTTAAATAGGCGTCCATGAACACACTTGTATTTTCTTACATGTTGAGGATAAATTCAAGCTTGTGAAAGTGCAAGATATACATGTCAATCAATTCATAATTTTGAAAATTGTCAAATTAAGGAAGGCTTAAATCAAGCTTTTGTAATATATTGGTCTCAAATGCTCTTTCAACATGAAAGAAGTGGAATTACAAATTTTTTTGGATGAATTTAAACTTCAACACTGTGTCAATGCCCCATTATGAAATTCATAGATACACTGTTTGGGTAGTAAAATTTTGAAAGCAATAATAACTGAGAGTTTATAAAAATGTTTTCCTCACATCAATAAAATACACATTTTTTTAGATAAAATATAAATTAATGACACTATTTCAATTATACTTACATTTGCATCTACCCAGAGCTGAGGGTATTTGTTGTACAGATTCATTTTATCCTCTAGATTAGCCATACACAGACTGAGAATTAAAGCTACAAAGTAGATGATAATAGACACCGTTCCTGTCTGTAATGTGAAAGACTGGAGGACAAATCTACGTGTGGGACGTCCAATATCAAATCTGAAATAGAAAATAATGCTTTAAATCAGTTTTAGTGTTAAAAGTTGTGACTTCTTAAGCAACAGATAGGACATACCATATACTTAAAGCAGAATTTTTAGCGAGGATTTAATTTTGGCATTATTAGCGAGGGTGTTGAGATCGCTAAAAAAGAATATCGGTAAAAATTAATTGCATTTTCTTTGTAATAGCTTCTTTAGAGAGTATTTTAAGATTGTAAAATTACATCTCGATAAAAATAAAACACCAGTTTTTACAGGCAAATCGCTAAATTTTTGTCTCGCTAAAATTTCCACTTATACAGTATCCTTTTTTGGCAAAAAAGTGATGTGGTCAAAAGATTCACATATAAAAAGTGTAAAACAAGTAATAGTTATACGTAAAACAGGTAATAAAAAATAACTTCCATTTGTTTGTGGTTGGATATGAATTGTTTAACTGTGTGCTTTTTATGCCTTCATCAAGGCTCGGGGATAGAAAAAACTCAATTGATAATATTCATTTCCAAAACCATGGGAGAACCTAAATTTATCCATTGAATAAAATGATTTCAACTATGAACTTTTAAAATACTTTGGTTCATCGGTATATAACTTTTATATTATATCTTGCAAATGGATTCTTACCTATCACAGGCTGAAACTGTACACAACACCAGAAGAATATAAAACATGCACTGGACTGGAAGAGCTAAAATTCTATAGTGCTCCAAAAAGTCAATGTATGAGAAATATAGCAATATGTAGGTCATTGTCAGATGCCACATTGAAATGCCTGCAGTCAGTCCATGTAAAAACAAACAGAATGTCACAAAAACTTTGTGTGTTCCAATCGCAAACAGGATGGTGGACTCCACGGGTTGTTCGGCTTCTAGTTCTCGGATAGCTTCCTCTTCTGCCCATTTCTTGGCAAATTTCACTTTGTTCTCTCCTTTAAATCCACCTGTGGGAAAGAACAAGTAATTTTATATAGTTGAACATTTGATGAAAGCAACCAAAGATGTAATTTGGGACTGTGAACCTAATTAATAGACAGCATGAAGGTTAAAAATTACAATGCGATGAAAGTAAGGTTTTTGAGTTTTCTACAGGCATTTAGATTAACAAAATAAGAACAAATTAATAAATATCACTGATTAATAAATCTCTTTTAATCCTTCAAATCTCTTCAAAATTAAATATATTTACACTTTTATAAAAACTTACTATCTGTCTCTATGAAAAGTTTTTCTAGCGGCTGACTCTTTAGAACTGCTGCCTCTGTAGCGAAGGGATGAAGAAGGACCTCATCCTGTTCTTTTTTACTCTTGGGACTCACAACATCTTCGTGTATGGTTTGTAACTCAGCTGTGAGTGTATCTCCCCATTCATCATCCTCTCTCGGTGTGGCGGTGGTAGAGGCTGGCTTCTTCTTCTTTCTAACTTTCTTCTTTGGTGTTCCACTTCCTTTTGTTTCTTTTGATATTAGACTTGCTTTGCTTCCAGTAACATCCTTGGAGAGAGAAAATATACATGCACAAAAATCAAGACATGTAAAATTTAGTTCAATTAATACATGCACAAATAGTTGATATTATATATATACATTTCTTATCAATTGTATTTAATCCCAGGTTTCCCAAATGCCAAAGCACAGACATGCCCTGATTGCCCTCTGAAAATCCAGAATTTTACTACCTTAGAATTTGCTTGGATGACACAGTGCTACCTCATGTTATTATTATGGTCATGACTGTCAGAGCATTATCACACAGAAATAAAATGAATCTTAACACAGAATTAACAGTGATAAGCAAACAAAGAGTAAATGATATGACCGATTAGCTAGGGGTGTCCACACTGTGGTTTGAACCTACAACCCCTCAGATTTAAAACCCAACACTCTACCGACTGAGCTAAAGGGTTAACCCACTAGCTTGTGGTAGTAGGAGTGTGGCCTCACTGTGCTAGTAGGAGTGTGGCCTCACTATTTACAACACAACACCTGGCCACTTTAAACTCTGTTACACTTCCCCTTTTTTTCTTGAGATTTCTTACCCCCTAAGAAATCTCACACACAAGACTCTATAAACACCACTCACCATGTGGGTTTTGTAGTTGGGTGCCAATATGATCGATTAACTAGGGGGTGTCCACACTGTGGCTCAAACCTACAACCCTCAGATTGAAAACCCAACGCTCTACCAACTGAGCTAAAGGGTTTGGGTAGACTTTACTTTACCGGTCCCCAGATTTTAATATATTTTTTCATCGGACTTTGAAATACATTTACGTCACTCAACTGATAAGGGTTAAACTTGCACACTTTTCGACTGATTAAGGTTAGTCTTGCACCCACCTGATAGACTAGGGTTAGTCCTTGCACAAGTATTCGACTGATTAGGGTTAGTCTCCCATCCATCCGAGAGATTAGGGTTAGTCCTTGCACATTATTTGACAGATTAGGATTAGTCTAGCATCTGCCTGGAAGATTTTGTCTACATGTCTTAGTCCTTGCATACCATCCGAGAAATTAGGGTTAGTGACTCGTTCTTTTAGATAAGTTAATAAATCAGTTGTTTCTGTAATTTTTGCAAGATCATAATTCAGCTTTAATCATGTTAATGGCATTTCGTTGGTTTGAGAAAATTACATGGAAGAATGCCAAAAATCAAGAAAAAATTGACAATTAATATATATGCAAATATACTTGATATTGTATATAAACATTTGTCAATTTTTTCCATAAATAAACAATATTTATTAATCTTTTCAGAAAATGAGGTTAAAAACTTTGTTTAAAAACTAAGTTTTAAACAAGTTTTAAGCTAAACTTTTAACAATGCAACCTCCTGTTATTATTATGGACAAAACTGTCAAGCAAATCACACAGAAATAAAATTTTTTTCACAGAATTAACAGTGATCTCAAATATAAATGATATGACCGATTAGTCGCCTTTGGCGACACTACAACCCCTGTTTTAAAATCCAACACTCTAAAGTAAAGTCATTCCAAGGGTTAACACACTAGCTAGTGCTAGTAGGAGCATGGCCTCACTATTTAAAACACAACACCTGGCCACTTTAAACACTGCTACAATAATTTAAATATTGTCTGTCAATGAAATTTGATGAAATAAGTCCTTATCAAAAGGTATCATGCTTTACAAGATAAAACTCCCAGACACATTCACATCCTTCAGTTTCATTTAAATAATGCAATAACAAAATTACCGATTTAAATGCACTTAGGCCTAAAAAATTTTAATGTTTATTTCCTGAAACATGTATGAACACATCCTCTGTAGAATTTTATTTCGTTCAGTTTTCTTTCATGAACTATTAATGTATGCCTACCTCGTCTTTACTTGCTGCACTTCGAGCAGAAGTGGGATCTGCTTCGCTTTCCTCTGTAGTTGCTGGTTTCTTACGTTTCTTTGGTGTTGGTTTATCTGATGTTTCTCCTTCTTTCTTTTTCACCACCTTTTTCTTTGTGGGTGTTTCATCGGATCTCGGGGAGGTTGTGCCATTTGTCTCGGTGCTTGGAACCTTCTTCTTTTTCTTTTTAACAGGTTTCTTCGGTTCTTCTCCATCCTCAAATGAAATTGGTGGAAGTTTTTTGCTTCTTTTCGGTGGATCTGCTCCAGTGTCCGACATTTTTGTTGTCAATGTAAATTTTGTTGTAAGCGGCCTTCAAATTTTTAGCTTACAGCATCACGAAAAAAAAAAAGACGAGAAAAAGGACTGGTGATTTTTTTAGTATGGTAACAAAATTTTTCAAGACAGTTAAAGATTATTTTTAAATTAAGAAAACATTAAGAATACGCCTAAAATTGTGCTTTACATTAAACATCGGGATCGGTGTCTATTCAACGTAACCTCGATCCCGAGGTTTAAAAATGGCGAAAAAGTCTGTCCTTTTCATTTGCCTGGGTATGTCAATACAAAAGCCGTTAGCAGCGTTATTGTGCTTTATTTGATAAGAAAGTCAGTTGGTCCAAATATCAGTTATAGATAAATGATAAGTTTAGACATATTCTTTATGAAATAAAAATGCGTCCATGGATGCAATGATCTGATGATGCACAGAGCACAGGGCCTGGGGGTCTATCAAGAAATAATGATTTACCTTTTAAAAACTTGCACTGTGACCTATGCTATTTTTTTTTGATATGTAAGTGATATGTTCTTAACAAATCAGAGTTATTGTGAAAAGTTCTTTAATAGAAAAGGAAAGATGATCTCAACAAAAAAAAATCATCTTTATTTAAGCCAAGGGTCTCTGATCTGAAATCTACTTTATTTACAACAAAATATTTGGCAGATAAATCTGAAAAATTAAAACTACCTGTACAGTAGATTTGGAATCGGAAACTCTCGGCCAACAAAGATGCTAAAAATAAGTAGGATTCGGAATGCTTTTGTTTCATTAAAATAACTTTAAAATTTGCATTTCATTTACCTGCTGTTAGGCCGCAATAACATACACTGTCACACTACTATATAAAGAGATCATAAATATTTCAAAAATTATGTGCTTAAAGACATGCCAAATTTATGTTTTATTTGATATTGCAGGTAATATTTGTAGATCACCCATTTCAGAGGCATTGTTTGTAGACTTATTAGAAAAGAAAGGAGAAAGGGATTCAGTAAGTGCATTTGTTTAGTTATTATACAGTGATCACTTCTAAATATCAGGATGCATGTCATGGACAGCAGTACTTCTATAAGTAGGCCTATATAAAAACCTTAGTTTAATGTCCCTAGGTTCCTTACATACCTTGTTACACAGCACTTTGTCAAAAGTACATTGTATCACGCATCTTGCATTGAACCTCTAGAATGTTGGATTACAACAGTAGAAGTAATGTACATGTAAAGTGTACAGTTTTATTAAATCGGAAACTTAGTTAATCAATATCTTGAAGTATATAGCATCATAATCTAATTATCAGATAAGATTGATTAAGTTGACAGACATGCAAGAACACTATAAAGAATATGCCATAAAAAAAAAGAAGTATATAAACCGTTAAAGATGTTCATTAAATCTACACTGCTAAGAAAATTATAAATACACAGTACACTATATACTGAAAATATGGTGTTAGACAGGTGAAACAACAAGATCAACGTTGCAATATTTTGAAGGTTTAGATACAGCTCAGAAATTAGAGTGAAGAAAGTAGATCCACGTAAACTTAATGTAATATTTTTTTTCTGTCATTGCTTGTACTATTCTTTCAGTGGAAAGTAGACAGTGCTGCGATTATAGATATGCATGTAGGGAAAAATCCAGACAAAAGAACAACCAGAACACTACAGAAAAACGGCATCACCTCTTACAGCCACAAGTGTAGACAGGTAATTAGTAGGGATGTCAACGAATATTCGAGTACTCGACTATCGTTCGATCATACCGGTACCGACTATCGACTAAAATTTCTTTAGTCGGTTATTCGTTAAAAATGTGTTTCATCAAAGTAATTTTGAATTCAAGGCAATAAACTTATATTTGCCCATTTCATTTATTTACAGATCAATATTTTGATATGTAAAATTAAGGGTATGGTATAACTGCTCAAAGTATGTACATGTACGTCGATGCATGTTCGGCAAACGTCTTCAAAATCTACAGTTTTGGTATAGCTTAAAAAAGGTCACTAAACAGTTTTATCGAGGTTATGTGAATCTGAACTTTTAATCTGCAAAGCAATGTAATGTCAAACATGATTTTTCACATGCCGAATCAGTCAAACATATACACAGTCTTGAAGTGAAATTTTCCTAAAGTAATGTCTCCGCAAAAATGAAAAAAAAAGCAGAGTGGGAAAGAAAAATCACAAACATGATTATTATTGATTGTCTACCTCTTACTGTTTTAAAGGAAGAGGGCAATTGTAAAGTTTTGTAGATTCAAACTAAGATTTGACGTGATACAACTATTCAGAAAGAATTCTAATTAAACAGCAATTACAAAATTATAAATTAATGTCAACTTGGGTCAGTTATGAAAGTAATTAAACCGTGTTTTCTTTTCCTGATATTAATTTCATACAATCATTGATTGTTTGCACAAAAGTTCATTATTAAAATTTATCCCAAGCTCTCGCTCTCTTTGTTTTTATAAGAAACACTTTTTAATTGTTTACCTTTAAAGATCATTGACGGACACGTAGAAATTGGCTTCAATTACCGTAATTAGGGGAGTATAATACGCACTTTTTTCCTAAAATAAATTTCTGTGAGAAAGGGATGCGTATTTTACATCACAATGGGATTTTGACAAGTTTTTCTTTCAGTTGAAAAACGGCCATGGTACGTACATACCGTAGTATTACTTAGAGACACATGCAATTTCTTTTGTTAATTGCCATATTTTAAACTTCGGAAAGTTATTGTTGGAAGGTATGCTTCTTATAAATGTCACTTTCATAATCTTTTTATGCCCAAATAACATGAAAAAGTAAGTAAAAAGTAATTTGAGCTGCATGTTGATTGTCTCCGAGGAGGCCGCCATTACCGATGTTATTTTTAGACGTTCACTCATAGCTATGTCACGTGCTTCCGGAATGAAAGTGCACATGCACCTTATCTGCCAGACAAAGTAATAAATCATTTTTTAATGAAATACAACAAAATAAATATTAATTTTAGGTTTAAAATAACTCAGTGATAATCTACAACAATATTAACACCCCTCAATACGTCCCAATGAAAGGAAGCCAATGTTGTGACACACGTGCGCTGGTCAAATGATAATTACCTATCAACACCCCTCGGGGCAATTAATTGTCTACCGACTCCAAAGCAATGTTTTTACAGTTAGAGCACTGATTATTTACTGCCATGTTAATTGCTGTGATTATTTTCTTTGTTAAAAATTGGGGGTCGGTTTATGACCTTTGGTATGTTTGAGCATGGTGAGCATGTGTTGATTACGGCAGTTAAACAATTAAACACTTGTTAAATGTAATTTTACCTTATCTTATACTTATCGGCCTCTTGTTTAAATAATTGAGAGTTGAGAAATGAAATATAAATTATGCTAAAACTTTTAATAAAAGTGGTATCATTTAGAAAATAAGATATCCGCGAAGATTCAGAAGAGGAAAATCGTAGTCTTGTTAAATAAATAAATACTTTGATGTTTCAATTTCGTTTCCTGTTAAAATAATGTAAGATAATTTTAAGCATGATTATCTAGAACCAAAATTAAATATGACAACTGATAAAACTTTCGACAATATCTCTTGCTTTGTTAAAATAAAATTATTTCATCTAAGAATATGGCGACGCATAATTTCAAAATCACCGTAACTATTCTTTAAAAAAATCTGTTAATACTTTTACGCAACATTATCTTGTGCTTTGTTGAAATAAATGAATAAATAATTTTCTCCAGATTGCCGAGATACGGAATGTCAGGATTAAGAGAAAGTTATAAAGTGTGTATTTTAAAAAAATTGTGTTCAGTAAATTTTTGACACCTAATCCTCGCGCCGATTTTCGTAACAAATTACCGTGATTTTCATAGTTCAGAACATCGCTTGGTAAATTTTTCTGTTGCGTATAATACATCCGAACTGCGTTTTTTTCCCCAGTTTCAGACTCAAAAAGGGGGGTGCGTATTTTACATCAATGCGTATTATACTCGGCCAAATACGGTATGGGGTACATGTACTACCGTTATGTAAAGAAAGGACAAATATGAGCGTTTGATATTCTGCATTTAGACAAAATGTGCAGCTAATATATTAATTCTGAAATTAAATAAACTGGGTACATGTACTTATTGATGTACAGTTTTTATTGTATAACGTACATGTTAACAATTCAGATATTCGTTGTATAATGGTGATAACATAGATTAAATATTGTAAACTAGTCGGTAAAAGACAAACAATGAAAATGATATGAAAAATTATTTTAGAATTAAACGAATAATCGACTATCGTTCGACTAAAGCATCCGACTATTCGACTAAGCTGACCGAGTAAAATTGACATCCCTAGTAATTAGATATTTAGGCCTTAGAAAAAAAACCCATTTACCTGTCAGACCATTTTTTCACTCTATGCTCCAACCCAACATGCCCAAAGATTTTTTACAATGATATTCGGAAAAGAAAAATTATGATTCTCGTAGAATGACTGCCAATGTACGTTTAGTGTTGCACTATTTATTTGAACATAATGCATTAAATATAAACTTTTACTCAATGTGGCAAAGTTTTCTAAATTTAATATATGCCTTTCCCATATATATATTAATAAAGCAAACATAATTTCACATATCTAGGACAATTTGAAATGAAATATGGTAATATAGAGGCAAAAAATCCACAATAAAAATTTGTATGTACATGTAATTGTATTCTAAAAAAACTGATTTGCATTGGTTTTAAAAATTTATTTTTTTGTCTGCTTCACTTGGTTTAAATTCTGTTCATTACGTTTTTCTTGATGTCTTTATACTTATATATGTATATGTATTAAATGGTGTTGGAGATAATCAACCTGGCCTACTAAATGGTTGCGTTTTATTTTTCTCAGATCAGAACTGCAGACTTCTCAGACTTTGATTACATAGTTGGTATGGATGATGATAATATGGGGTAAGTAAAGAAATAGACACATTCAGTAAATGAAACTGTAACCTTGCACTCTACTCTGACCAGAGTTTACCTTTGAACTAAACTACATGTAATAACTTTAAAAGAATTTGTTTATTGTTTAATGGATCAGTAAGAGTGATTGGTTTCCACAAAAGAGAAAAAAAATATTATGATGGGCAAAACATCATGACAATCTGGTAGTGGTAGGTGTTGAGAGAAAGAGCATAGCATTACTATACTATAAAACTATAGCATTTTATCAGAATACATTTTATACATGTACATTTTTTAAAACATTATTTTCAGTGATTTAAATGATTTGAAACCTAAGAACTGTAGAGCTAAGCTGGTTATGTTTGGTGACTATGACACAGATGGCAGTAAGACATATGTAGAGGATCCTTATTATGTAAGTTAAAATCTTAATATTATTTATAATGTAAGTAAGTGAAAGAAGCAAGTCAGAAAATTCCTCCCAGTTCGTTTTGTCCAGAAAAAATTAAAGAAGTGTACATTTATGTTCCTCTATACATAGAAACCTAATACAAATTATCCACCAACTAAGGAATCATATAGCATTGAAATAAAACATGTATTTCCATGTTTATGTTTTTTTTTAAGTTTAAAAATTTTGTACTGAATGAAAAAGGTGAAGATAACAAACAGTGTTTCAATTAAAAAAAAACTACAAACAATTCAATTCTGTGAACTGGGCATAACACAGACCATTGGAAATTCTAGAGGTGGGATTAGGTGCCTAGGAGGAGTATGCATCCCCTGTTAACAGGTGACACCCGCTGTGAACCCTAAATATGTATTGATTTGGTAGATGGAACAAACCATAGTCAAATTATTGCAAGAACAAAGACATAACAATTGGTTTGACAGAAGTTAGCCAAAATACACCAAAGTGGTATGTTTATATTTGCTAAGAAGGTCATTATAATGACTATGAAATTTACATGTAATAAAGTGATATTCTGGTATTTCCTTTCACCTGCTTATGGTGTTTATGTCTCCCAGATTATTCCCTTCACTGCTGAGAAGAATCAGTTTTTAAACCAAGACAGGCTTCTCACACATAAGTTGATGTTACAAGGATTTCATCAATCTCATTTAATCAAGGAAACTTGAGGGATAGAAAAATTGAAGTAATCTTATTTATTTTGGAAACATAATAAATATAAAGCAGATGTGGCTGATTTTGTGGTGTATTTTATTTCAAGTTCATTGGGATATATGAACTGAAATAACTGTTGTTAATTGATAAATCTGAATGTCAAGTTAAAGGCCACTGCAATTTCTCCTCATGTTGAAGGTTTTATACAAATTCTCTTAATAAAAATTTAAAAAGCAGGTTGTCAAAATAATTGAAAAAGATGTAAAGAGCTATCCTTATAAATTCTTTGAGTTCCTAGTAGAAATGTAGCATGTTATTTTGACTTTAACAGAGTGATGATATACAAGCCTTCCAAGATGTGTATGACAAAGTCTACCGATGCTGTCGAGGGTTTTATGATAGTGTAACATCATGAGAATTTTAAGACTACTCAAAGCTTGTTTTAATATTGACAATATTGTCATATGTTGATATTATACAATCATGCCAATCAATTTTTATTACACAAGCAACATAATAAAGTTTTGTATGGAAGATGTGTTTTTCACATAGATCATTATCTCTGTTACCAGTATTTAACACAATTTATGGAGTTGTCAAATTTTGACAAAACTGCCTAGTGTGGAAAAATAAGGGAATTGAAATACAGTCTATTCCATTCCTAAACCTTTTGTGTTTGAAATAGAAGAAAGTAAAGAATTTAAAAATGCTGAGTTCTAAATAATATCTATTAAATCGTATTGCTTATTTTGTAACGGCATGTAGTAACTTTAAACAGGTCGGAGAGAATACTCGAAATCGGGTATTATCCGTGAAATCACGTACAATACCCGATATTAGGGTATCGTTGAATCCGCGAAATCGGGTATAGGAGGTGTAATCACCTAATAAAACTTCAACAATGGGATGGCACATGTTGCCGAGTTAACGTTCATCTAGATACCCATGTTTTCTAAAGGTATCACTAGCCAAGTAAGAATTTGGGCGTCAAGATTAATGCGCTCAGGACAACAAATACCCGTGGAGGTCAGTACATTTCATGATCTGCACACAAAAAGGCGTTCGATTTGCTTTATATTTTTCATAACATTGAAAGTATATGCATCTTCCTCATGTTCATTCCCAGCACAACAGAATGGTAAAGTATCAGAATTCGGGAATTTATAATAATTCCACATCAACACGACAAACATGAACAATTTGTAAATAAATCAAATTATACGGAAACACATTTCACACACAAGATATGATGCCATGTATAAACAAGGAACTGTCTATCGTATCTAATTATGCGTCATTAATTACTTTCACATTCATCTTGTGCATAAAATCAAATTTATTTATGAATGTCTAAATAATGTAATGATAAAAATGTCTAAAATTTCGGCTAAAAAAACTCTTTCTTTTTTTTTTTTTGAAAATCTTTTTTTTAATCATTCATACATATTTGCAGAATATGTCTTCAGCATTTTAGCAGAGACAGTAATAGTTTCAGGAATACAGCTTATGAGAAAACATAACTGTTGATCGTTTAATTTCGCTAAGTCAACAATATTTTACCATTTCTTGGCGACTTCAAGGGGGGGGGGAGGAGGGGGGCTAAAGGCTTCTTGACCACCTCTGACAAAACAACCTCGACTGTGTTCTACATGTGTCCAAGTGACCTCTCTTTAAATGTCACGGTCGGTTAAACTTGGTTATATATTTTTAATTGTAGAGAAGATTTATTCATCAAATAAAAATTATATAGGTAAACAAAAAGCAACCTGTTATTTTCTAACACAATATGAGACTACAAGTAACTAGAATTCATGTTTATTTTTTTAACACATTTTTTCATTATAGATGAGTATAAGGAAAAGTTATTGCCAGGAGTAATAAGTATCACATATAAAATAACTAAAAGAAAACTGTGACATATTGTTTAGAACTAGAAACAATCAGATAGTGCGTTGTATTCGCATATTATAATGAGGTATTAGATAGCGATATAAGAAAAATATAGAAGGTAAAGAGGTAAAATTTACCCTGTCTTTCAAATAGTATAATAAAGAAAGGAAGTGGCTACAATTTTTATGAAATTTTAATGTCCGATGAGGAATTATATTCCCAAAAAGTAAGACAAGAGTTTCCAAGGCATTTGAACACTCCGCTATTTCAGTTTGTTCATTAACATATTCATAAACGTAGAAACTATAAGAAATGTGAAATTTTGACTATGTAATTCATATTTCAGTATGACTGTATCTCGATCTATATTGAGAAATTCAATGTTTTATAAGCTCGTGAAAAGATGTACACATTTGACTTTTATTCCCCCCCCCCCCCAAAAAAAATAAGGAAATCCTGTTCATATGACTTCTCGCTCTCAATTTTCACACAAATGCATAAATTAAAGAAAAAAATAGCATATCTTGTATCGATTAAAATGCAACAAAAAAATTTACGGTGTCTTTGAATAAAAATTTCCATGCTAAATTGACATAAAAAAGATACACCTTCAATTACCTATCTTCAACCTGTTTTCCAGTGGGTATTTATTTAATCTTATTATTTTTTTCTTTATAATAACTTTGGTATTCTATTATGGCAGAGATATACAATTATGACTCGCTTATACTGTACTCTCTAACTGTTAGGAATAATTTATATTTCACGTGAAAGGGACGCCATACATTTTTTCAGTAAAAATACATAACACGGCGTTAGTCGTTTAATTTCTTTAAAGTTTCACATTTTGTGAATAGTGCACAAATTAGAAAATTAAGTATATGGAATACTTTAATGGGAAATAAAGACAAACGAAGTGTAGTTATTTGTCTTTAGAAATTATATTGAAAAATAATAACGCCATTGTGTCCTCTTTGTTACCCCAGCAGTGTTTGTCGTGTGATTTTAAACTTATTTGACAACCGTATGAATTAGGTTTAACAAAAATAAATCCACAAGATACTGATGTACAAGTAACAGTAACTGTCATAATGCGCCGTTCCTTTATTCTTTTGTTTTTAAAGAAAGTTGCACGGAATACCCGATTTCGCGGATTCAACGATACCCTATATCGGGTATTATACGCGATTTCACGGATAATACCCGATTTCTCTCCGACCTGTTAAATACCAGTCATATTGCATGGTAAAGAACTTTCATTCTTTATTTAATGGAAAGTTGGTTATAAATCATTGTTGTGTAATTAGTTGTGCGTAGTGATTTAGTTGTTGTTTTCCCTTTTAAAGCAATGCATACAGTTATTTGACCAGTTCCAAATAAGAAACCGATTCGGCGGTGCTATAAATATAATAGGAATCATTTCAAAATCTAAGTGTTTTGTCAAGGTAGTTCGATGACTTGTGGAATTAAATATTGTTTATAAAAGTTCAGCCTTCCCTCCAAAAAAATTATTTCGCAAGTTACCATAGGTGTCCATTTTACCAGTTACGGATAAGCCGACGGGTTCCGAATAACCTAGAGATTCTTATTCAATTCAACCTTAAATTAAAAAATATACGTCCCAGACGTTATCCATTGGCATGCATAAGAAAAGTTAAATTAATTGCTTACCAATAAATTATTTGTATTTCCAGAGGTTGAAGAGAAACTAGAGTTACTGTGGGCACTGAGCTCATTTTAATGATACCCCACACCTTCTTTATGATTAATTATGACAAAGTCCATGTTTTGCTCTGGGAGACCCGAAATAAGTCAGATCAAAAAGTAAAATAAAAAGTCACAATGTCACAATATAATAAAGAATCTGTGAAAGTATCATTGAGTCTTATTCAGTGGTATAGGAGGAATTGTGGATAAGAGATGGATATACCTTTCAATATTACAAAGAATGGCAGTATCTATGTTTTTCTCAGGGAGCCCGAATTATGTGCCTGATCCAAAAATAAAATAGATGCACTTTGGTACTGTTAAACAAAGATTCTGTGAAAGACTCATTAAATTCTGTAAAGCCTCATTAAACTTCTTTCAGTGGTAGAAGAGGGGTTGCGGATAAGAAATAGATACCCCAGAGCATATCAGACGGACGGACGTACAGACGGATGGATGGACAAACATCCCATTACTATATACCCCTTCCTGTTTTTCAAGCAGGGGTATACTAAGTCACGTTTACAATGAAGAAAACAACGAAGAGTGAATTTATGATAGTGTTTAAAATGGGTATTCGGAACTGGTAAAATAAGAACACGTAAATATTTCGATATCTTCCAGTGCTCTAAATATTTATTTTTGACAAGTTTTTAGTATATGTTAGAGTACATATCAAACTTACTTTTGATACCTGGAACGTGGTTTTATGTGAAAAATTAATGTATCTACAGAGGTTTTTCTGCAGACTTGCGCGTCGCGGTGATTCAGATTTGTTGCGTTGTAAAAGTATGTCGACTGTTTCATGTACGATAACGAAACCAAACCGAGGGCAAAAAATCAAAACTTCACATAATTCAAACACTGATAAATAAGCCTTCTTACCATAGAAATCAATTTATTTTTACACCATTCAATTTATTAATTATCAGTCCTTAAATTAATAATTATTCGGAACTGGCCAAAATCCGGAACTGACCAAACGACTGTACATAAAAATGTATTGTGTATTTACACATACAAGATCTAATAAAAATATACTGAAAACTAGAATTTGTTATCATCAGTGTTTAATATTGAAATCTGTAATCACCTTTTGCATAATACAGAATGGAAGGAAAACAAACATGAACCTGCGCAAACTACAGAAGTGGGTTCAGGTACCATTTAGAAGTAAGCTTCCCCTGTCAATCGCTCAATTCCATCGTGTGCTCCTAAGTGCCAGACAAATGGAAAAATACACAAGTTGTTCAGTCTACATATGATCATTTGCCCTAAAAATTTGTGTGAAGACCATTATTAACCACTTAAAGGTTGTATTTGCTAATAAGGCCATCGACCATGTTGCCTTCAAAAGTAAATGTTCATATCCTTGTATCAATCAATTTATTTCTCAATGGCTTGCTTTGATTATGAAATTTTTCATACGGAAAGCATGCTGTTGTATATCAAATCAACTCCATATGCAGTTTAAAATGGTATATTGTTACACATAGAAGTAAGGGAATTTGACGATAGAAAAGTTGAAGTCATCCTGTTTATCATAAAGTTTTGTTATTAAATATAACCATATATGTATTTTCCAGGAAAATATCTAAATATTAAACAAATGCGTCAGAATGTGTTGCCTTTTTGAGTTGAAAGGAATATATATTGAATCCATGTTGTAACTGAAATGAATATTGTGAATTCAATTCGTCTTAGCTATACTAGTATCTAAATGCTTTTTTTTTTTTTTACTAGTTTGATAATTCAAGAGAAGTTCTCTTTTGTACAGCTGTTTTTGGACGTGTTTAAGCTGTCTGTCTTTAAAATCATATGACATAAAATCAAAGTGCTAGTACTTAAACCCATGTCTTGCTAAAATAATTGGAACCGCATGTTTTAATCTGATATTACCATGCAGCTGACGTTATTTGGACGATTCCTTTTTTCATCCTATTCTGTTTAAGAGTTTATGTCTCTTAGTTGATTCGATACGAAGGAACATTCTCTATGTATGAACAATTTCTTATCAAAGACAAGCTAGTGACGAACAATTTCATGGAAGAAGGAAATGAACTGTCTTATTTGAAGTCTTATGGGCGATACAATGGCCTTTTCAGCAAAATGTGTACAACCTGTCATTAAGCTAAAAGCTGACTGACGTTCTTCATACTAAATGTTAGACCATTATTTACCCACTGTATTTTCTACGGATTTTTCGTTTTCCCGATAATGACAAGGAGCAACCGGCGGATGTGACTGATCGGCAAGGGAGGCTGACTTCTCTATTATACCTGATCCCACCCCTGATTAGCTCTACTGGTCAGAGACCAAAAGAGCTTATGCGATAGTAATGTGTCCGTCGTCCGTCCGTCTGTCTAGCTGTCCGTCTCTCTGTCTGTAAACAATTTTTCAAAATGCTACTTCTCTTAAGTTTTGATCTGATCTCAATTTAACTTGGCACACAAGTAGACTATACTAAGATAAATAATTCTGTGCATCGGTTTTTGATTTCGATGAACGGTATTGCCAGGATTACTAAAAATAGAAATTTCTGTGAAATGCTTTCAAAATGCTACTCCTCCTACACCTTTGGCCTGATTTCAATATAATTTGGCACACAAGTAGACTATACTAAAATACATAGTTCTGTGCATCGGTTTTTGATTTCGATGAATGGTGTTGCCTTGGTAACTAAAAATAGAAATTTATGTTAAATGCTTTCAAAATGCTACTCCTCCTCTAGTTTTGGTCTGATTTCAATATACAGTCAAACTTTGTTATCTCGAACCTGATGGGACTGAGTAAAACTTCGATATATCTGAGGATTTGAGATATCGAAGGTTAATTACTTAAAGGATATGTGGCAATGGGAATTCGAAATCACTTCGACATATCCATGGCATTCGAGATATCGGAGTTCGACAGACTTAATCAAGGATCATATCTCTGTTTATTGCAATTTTAAAGTTTCAAGTCCCAACTGCCTTTTTTCTCTTCCTTTGTTATAAGTGTAAACCAGTAGAGCTACAGTCTCAACAGAGACTTCTGGTTTTTTAGGTCCATGTTTGCTCTGCTCCTGATTTGCATTGTTTAATTGGACTTTTCCCTATCTCCATAATGCATTTTAGAGAATTCTCGACCTTATATGTGAATACCACGTTTAAAAGAGGTACTTTTATCCATAAAAGGTCATACACAGCCGGGGCTATATATCTCGGTGCACCAAATCAAAAAACTTTTACAGTGATCCAGCATTTTCTCCATTCCATAATGAATTCAACAATGCAGTATACAAAACCTCAAAGTCTTAATTTATTGTTAACGAGCTTTACATATAATATTCTAATTAATCACAATACAAATGGCTGGCACAAACATTAAAATCACTCTCGTGAATATACATACTCTGATGCTCATATGTTCAGAATAGCAAAGCAATTGAAATAATGTTTTCCATATACATGTACTTGTGTATTTGAAATTTGTTCCCAAATTCTTATATTAAGTTTTTAAAATAGTGAACACATGTATAATCAATGATAATTTAGTTATTTTTTCTTGACACGAATTAAATACATTTTATATGACGTTTTCTCGGTAGATCAAAGTAAAAGGTGTGGCAGGTACATTTAGTTTTACTAGCTGTTCTTTTCATAAAGGCTTCAAAGCAAGATAATATTTCATAAGTCAAAGCGTTTCTAAAACGCAAATTTTTAAGCAATAGAGCATGGACTAAAGTAATGAAAGAAAACAATAACTATTCAAAATAATATAATCATAAGAAAACATCATGTTCATCGTCTATCCTAAGGGAACATGAAAACAATTGTAGAAAAAAAATCTATCAAAGAATACTTAGAGTACAAAATAAATATTAATTTGGCATGTAATGAGCATTTACAATGTGCATAAACAAATAAACAACGCCTGCAATTGCAAGATCCTCCGATTTCAATGCAATTGCATTACTTGAATAAGTCTAAGTTACAAAGATCCATATACAAAAGTCATTCCAGTCTTTCTCTGATATGTGTTCTGAATCAGAACTAAATCAAAAAGCTTAAGACAGCAGTATAATGGATTAAAAAGCAATAACTGTCAAATCTTCAGTATGGATTTGTTTGGTCAAATCAAGCTTACATTGTCTGAGTAGCCCCAAGGCCAGAACAGATTGTTTATTCCTCACGTGGAAAAGAATCGCTGGACTTTCTCTGTAAGCAACTGGATAAAGGAAGTCGGCATCATAGTGTGAGACGCGTTGGCGTATTTGAAATAGTTATATGGTTGCGAAATGACCTCCATCAACACGCTTAGCAGCTTCCTGTCCTGTAAAGTAATTGCAATATTTACATGAATAATCGTCTTTCATCGTATGAAATGACCAGTAAATATAATCTGAAGAAATCTAATATGTCAGAAAAAACACAATTATAATGTTACGTCATAAGAGAACAGAAAGATCAGTATTCATTCTGACTTTGGGGGAGAGGTTCTTTGCAGTCTTTGGAATATTCACACTTACCGGTACAATTTAAAAGAAATCCTTATTTATATTATAGAAAGAAAGAAAACTCTCTTTTTGCATCATTATTATTATATCTTTTGAAAAAGAAGTTCTACATGCAAGAAACAATGTTTGACAAGCTTTGAATTAATGTTAGGGGTTTTACTAAATTTTCTTTACCAACAAATGTACATACCTTGAAACGCCTTAATATAAACAATATTTGATACATTCCTTGCTAAAACATGCACATTAAATACAACCGGGCTTTCGAGGATTAATTGCCTGTAGTTGCTTACCACATATTCCTGTTTAAAGAGCAATAAGTTCAAACCTTTACCCTTTTGCAGCGTGAAAGAACTTAACGAACCTTCAGAATTGATTGATGCTGGTAAGAACTATACAATCTTCCGTCTCTCACAATATCTTCAATTAGAGGCTGATAATCCTCTGAAATAATCAAGCATGAAATAATTATCAGCATAGAAAACAACATTTTTGTACATAAAGTAAACACAAAAACAACTTTAATGTTGATTGTACACTTACCGTTATAGGTTACGAATGGAATGGAGAATCCGCCAGCAGTATTTTTAGAGTCAGATTTAAATTGGACCCATAATCTTCTACTCCGAGAGGTAAAGGCTCTAGGTTTCTCTGTAGTTTCACAAACTTCATAAGTTGTAAGAGATGATGGTTTACCTGCTCATGAGATTTAATGAAAGATCAAAGACATTTCAAGAAAAAATTACAATATGAGATGTTACTCATCAAATTTTTTATTTCTTACAACTTCCATAAGAGGGTAGCTAATTTTTTAACTGTCATTTCATTTCTTTTACAACAAAGAGTAAATCTTTCTTTGAATTTTCTTTCCTGATCATGAAATTTCTTCATAATACATATAAATTCTCACTTGATTTACGCATGACCAGTTTATCTCCACACTGGTCTTCTTTTGGCAGGAATATTTCCGGAATGATCACAAGAATTCGTCGTTTCTTCCCCGGCTTGATTTTCCAGGTACACTGGATACTGTTTGGATAGTCGCCTGGGAAATTTGGACTCTCAATGTACCCCTGTAACTTCCCTATCTGTCCACCACATTTTTGATCTTGAGAAAGGTAAGAATAAGGTTATTAATGGTATTATATCCATTTTTGACGTAAATTCTTGTTCAGGATTTGAAAGTACCCTATGAGAAATTATGCATCTTACTTTTGCAATCAGACTGGTTTGTGGATCCAACAAAGTCTGTAGAGGTACTGACTGGGCATGCGTGACAGAAGTTAAGTCCAGCAGTCGGCTGATAGGTCCCTACTGGACAAGGCAGACACTGGTGCCTGCGGACATCAAAGAAATTCCCAGCAGCGCATGTAACTGAAACAAATATATGCAAGTAAGCTCATATTAAAAGCGTTCAATATATCTATGAGGAAATGTTTACATCAAACTTTTAAAGTAAGATTATGTCTTTCATGATGATTACCTTTTGTACTGCAGTCTAGAAAAGACGAACCACCCTCAAATAATGTTGTTAAACCTATACCACATTGAACACAACTGCTTCTTCCATACCCTGTCTGGTATTTTCCACGAGGACATTTAATGCAGGGTTTTCTGCCATTTGATGAAAATGTACCCGGGCCACAAAGAACTATCATAAAGATCCAATAAGGTTTGAGTTAAATAGAAAACATAATTTGTTGGTGTATATGAAAAATATTCTTTTCATAATAATATTAAATTTATGTTAATTTTGAAAATATTTTCGAAAAATGCTTCATTATTTGGATTTTGTTAAGTGTTTGCTATAAAAAAAAAATAAACATAAATGAATTGAAAAAATTACTTCTTTAAAAAGGGGAAGTATATTTAACTACCTGAACAATCAGCTGTACTCTTCGCCCCAGGTATACCTCCCCCTGTCTGACTGAGAGGACATGACTTGCAGGCTGTCTTGCCCTCAGAGTCCTGGTAGGTGCCTGGTGGACATAACTCGCATAACCTGCTAGTTTTATTGTAAAAAGATCCTGTGCTGCAATCCACTGCAAGAATTCATCATTGATTATGTTACTACACTTTTAATATCTTCATTTTTCATCCATAAGAAAATCTCAAAAGATATTGCATCATCATGTTCTATCACTATTTTTAGGTCACCTGAGTAAACTCAGGTGACCTATTGCTATCCGTTTTCGTCTGAAGTATTGTGTTCGTAAACTTTTGAACATTTTCAGCTTCTTCTCTGGAACCACTGAACCAATTTCAACCAAATTTGGCACAAAGCATCTATGGGTGAAGGGGAACAAAAATTGTGAATTTCACACCCTGCCACACAGGGGCCTGAGGGGTGGGGCCAAACACACAGGGACATCAAGCAGTCAAACTGTTTGCATGACACACATTGGTCCTCTACCAAAATTGTGAAATTCATGGCCCTGGGGTCAGGGGTTCTAGTGCTAGGGCAGGGCTAAATAAGTATATAGTGAAAATGCATTATTTCTTTGAAAATCTTCTTCTCTGCTCCTGGGTATTAAATAAACCAACTAAGTAGATAGTTATGATGAGCATGAGTGCCTCTATCAAAATTATGAATTTTATGACCCAGGGTCAGGGGTTCTGGTGTTAGGGCGGGGCTCTTTTGATTATATACAGTGAAAATACATGATTTCTTTGAAAGTCTTCTTCTCTGCCCCTGGGTATTAAATAAACTAACTAAGTGCATAGTTATGATGAGCAAGAGTGCCTCTATCAAAATTATGAGTTTTATGAGAGGGTTCTGGTGTTGGGGAGGGGGGGCTCTATAGATTATATAGTAAAAATACATGAATTCTTTGAAAATCTTCTTCTCTGCTCCTAGATATTAAATAAACTAACTAAGTGCATAGTTATGATGAGCATGAGTGCCTCTACCAAAATTGTGAATTTTATGACCCAAGGATCAAAAGTTCTGGTGTGGGGGGGGGGGGGGGGAGGGGCTCTATTATATAGTGTGAATACACAAATTCTTTGAAAATCTTCTTCTATGCTCCTAGGTATTAAATAAACTAACTAAGTGCATAGTTATGATGAGCAAGAGTGCTTTTACCAAAATTATGAATTTTATGGTTCCAGGGTCAGGGGTTCTGGTGTTGGGGGGGGGGGGAGGAGGGTGCTCTATTGATTATATAGTGCAAATACATTAAATCTTTGAAAATTTTCTTCTCTGTCTCTGGGTATGAAGCAGATGAACTACCTATATAGTTATGATGACACTGGGGCCCTAATCTTGCAGAATTGTGAATTTCAAGGCCCCAGGGTCAGGGGTGGGGGTGGGGCTCTACTTATATACTGAAAATGAATTAATTGTTTGAAATCTGCTCCTTTGTATTTATAAATCATTTATTTATTTTTTGATGGGCAATTTTAAGGGTGCCTTTTTAAAATTTGTGCAATGTGTGGACCTAGTGTCAGGGGTTTATTTCACAGTGTTAGGGGCACTACTGATTATTGCTGAATATTACTGATTTGTTGGAATGCATTTTTGTTCCCCTACCTTGCGTATGGGTATTCAGTACCCCTGCAAGGTGATCATGAATAATTCATGAATTTCCTTGAGTTTTTCATGAATTTTATTCATGAAACGTTCATGAAGATCCTATGAACTTCTTATTGGACATTTTCAAATCAATAAACCAAGCTAAGCAACTGCTAAGTGTATTGTTATGATGATCAATGGTGCCTCTTTCAAAATTGTGAATGCCATATAGCATCTGGCTTAAAACGTGAATCAAATTCAATAATTGGAAAGTTGTTGCAGAATGCTCAGGTGACCTATAAGGCCCGTGGGCCTCTTGTTTAAAAATACTTTTGCCTCAATAATTTAACTTAATTTAGGATAAAACAAGTTATCTAGGTTCTTAGTCAGGATGAAATAAATTTAGTTGCAGTTGTAAAAAACTCACCAATTGTCAAAATAAATTAATATCTAGTAATTTTACTCTAGAATAAAAATCAGTACTTACCACATGCCTGTTCTCCCATTACACTGCCAGTGGGACATTTATAACCATAGACCTTTTTCGTTTTTAGTGATCTTTTAGCAAAAGACACATCTTGCTTATCATATCTGAAATAAAATCGTTTGATCAGATGAAAAATTAAATAATAGTTCACTTTTATAAGCATGTTTTAGGTCACCTGAGTAACTCAGGTGACATATTGCTATCCGTTTTCGTCCGTCGTCCGTCGTGCGTCGTGTTTTAACATTTGAACATTTTCAGCTTCTTCTCTGAAACCACTGTACCAATTTCAACCAAATTTGGTATACAGCATCTATGGATGAAGGGGAATAAATTTGTGAATTTTATGGTCCCCCCCCCCCTGGGGCCTGAGTGGTGGGGCCAAAATCACCAAAATTATTGCAATCTTTAAAAATCTTCTTCTTTACTCCTGGATAAGCAGAAACTGTTTGCATGAATGTAATGCTAATGAGTTTAAAAAAGGAATTCATGGCCCCAATTTGTTAGTGTATATAGGTGAAAATGCATTTCTTTGAAAATCTTCTTCTCTGCTTCTAATATTAAATTTGTGTTAATTTTGAAAAATGCCACTTCCAAAATTGTGAATTATTTGGGGTTCTGATGTTAAATGTTTGTTATAAAAAATGCAATAATTCTTAAAATCTTCTTCTCTGCTACTAAAAAATAAACTAATTAATACTTAGTTATGATGAGCAAGAGTGCAACTAAAATTGTGAATTTATGGCCCTAGGGTCCTGGTGTTACAATCAGATCATATAGTGAAAATGCATTAATTCTTTGAAAATCCTCTTCTCTGCTCCTGGGTATTAAATAAAGTAAGTACATAGTTATGAGAGGAGTGACTTTCAAATTGTGTTTTATGCCCTAGGGTCAGGGGTTCTGGTGTTAGGGCGGGGCTCCATATGGTGAAAATGCATTTACTTAAAATCTTCTTCTCTGTTCTGGGTATTAAATAAACTAACTAAGCACATAGTGATGCAATCCACTTCAAATTATGAATTCATGGCCATTTATGTAACAGGGCTCATATCACCAAAATGCATTTATTCTTTGAAATTTCATTTCTGCATAAAAAACTAAATTATGATGAGCAAGAGTGCCTCTTCCAAAATTATGAATTTTATGGCCCCAGGGTCAGGGGTTCTGGTGTTAGGGCGGGGCTCTATTGATCATATAGTGAAAATGCATTATTCTTTGAAAATTTTTGCTGCTTGATAATATAACTTAATTTAAAATAAAGCAAATGATTCCAAAATTGTGAATTTGATGGCCCCAGGGTCAGAAAATAAAGCTTGCAGTTTTATATAAAAAAACCTTTTCTTTTGCTATTTGCCAAAGTTATATATATATTTATGATGAGGAGTAACTGTATTTTTTATGCTCTGGGTCCGGGGGGGGGGGGGTTTAATAAAAAAAATTAATGCTTTGAAAATGCACTTACCACATGCCTGTTCTCCCATTACACTGCCAGTGGGACATTTATAACCATAGACCTTTTTCGTTTTTAGTGATCTTTTAGCAAAAGACACGTCTTGTTTATCATATCTGAAATGATATCGATTAATCAGATAAAAAATTAAAATATTATATTCTTTAAAAGAAATAAAAAGCTTTTTCTATATCTTTTAGCAATTAAATACATGTGTTTCTATATCGTTATATAAAAACAACAATTGAAATTGATTAATTCGTAAAATGTAAACAGCGTTTAATTTTCAATAAGAAACTTTCAAATAAGTATAAAATCGTTTTATGTCAGTAATTTTATATTGCATGCATATACCTAAAGAAAAGCTGTGCTTTGTTTGTCATTTTTCTAAGTGTTTTATAAGCTTTCTTCAGGCGTCTTTCTGTCCTTTTAGTTGTACAGGGAATGTCACATTTTTCTGTTGAGTTGAAATCATTATTTTATTGTCATATTTCCAAGTATTCCAATATTTACACAATAAATAGCTGTTTTTCATATCTATTATTAAATAATTTTCTTATAAACAAGCTTTCCCTATAAAATAACATACACATGTACAGCTATTTGAATATGTAATAGCTCTTTTTAATTGTTTAGTGTATCTTTAAGGATTTGATGAGATAACCATTGTAAAACTACACATCGTATCATCTTGTTATTAAAATACATGTATGTTTTCCAGAAACTGCCCTTTAACCATTAAAACAGCTCCTACTAGTTATTGCAAAAGGTTCCACTTCTAATTCCATTTTGCCAGCTATAACTGTTTTCGAAACATCTCTTGCAAGTCTTCGGAATTTCTTTGGAATGTGCTTGCAGTCTATTTGAACGTAGTTTATTTTGCACGAATTTCTGCATTTGAATTTCTTTAATGCTGCAAGAAAAATAGAAAGTATTAAAATGCTTTCTCACTCTTATTCAACATTGCAAATATCAAGATTAAAATAACGAAGTACGTACTGTTAAGTTGAGTTGTAATGTTTTGTTTTACTTCTTGTCGAAGGCGTTTCTTAACCCGACATCTAGCGGCCACAAATACAAATCTTATTGTTTTGGTTACAGCTGGAGCATGCGTATTTGCTGTTGAAAAAAATTTAAAAACGTAAAATTTTCCTTATATTTGTACATATATCATATTTAAAATTTGATTTGTTTTAATGCTAGGTTCTAATAATAACAGAAAGCAGAGGTTGAGAAAAAAACATTTGTCTTAAACCTCAGCATAATCGTTCTATTTTTCATCGCTTAATGAACTCCTTAATTTATTTGAAATCTTCGATATAAATTTAATTGCACTTTAAAACTTGCTTTTACCAGAGCAAAATGGCAGGTCTATATTTTTAATACGATGAGACCATCTGAATTGTGTGCTAGCACCACACGTGTAGTATGTACTACTTTTCAGAACACCGGACGGATGAGTGTTGGCTTGGCATTGAAGAGAACAATACTGATCGGCTCCCGACTGCCTGCAAGTGGCCACTGTCTTTGCAGGGGTTTCAAAGGGCAAACATTTGTTCCACTCTGTAAGTAACAAAAATAAGTACATTTTGAAATATATGTAGATTTCTTATTCGCATGTGCTGAGGTAAGAAATAGGGATTTTTCATGGTCTGATTGCAAGATTGTGTTTTCATTAATGTCTACATCGACGACAAGTGGATACTTTTTAAAAAGGAAAATAACACCTAAAATGAGTCCTTACGATGCTTTTCTCTTTAAATCTTAGAAATGTACAAAGTTAATAACTTCATCCCATTTCCAGAATGGTTCTCCTTGATATCATATTCTTTATTGATTTATCAGATTTAAATATTTAAGTCATATTTACGCCAATTTTATAACTTTGAAAACATTGAATTTGGAAGGCACAATTGAAGCCAAACAGAAAAATCTTCTTTAAAAATATATAAAAGATAATGAAAAGGCGATTATAATTGCAATATTGAAACATTGAATGATAAGAATCACACAGTCTTGAAAGCGAATATCTGTCTCCATATTATCACATGTATGCCAGAAAAATAAATACACTGTATGTGTTGGTATATTTTTAAGAATTTGAAAATTTTTAAAAGCAGTTTTCCAAGTCCAGACAAACATCTCCTTGGCTGATTAGAACGCTTACCTACGCAATCTTTTCCATTAGAATGTATTTTATAACCAGTTCCACAGAAACACCGGTAGCTTCCTTCTGTATTCAGACAAGAGTGCTCACAGCCGCCATTTTCATCCAGGCATTCATTCTTATCTAGCAAACGATGTCAATTTTTTAGGCAAATGTTGTACTTATGCAATAATTATCTTACTGTTTGATTTTAAACATTAAAAAGGTCTCACGAGGAATGAATTGTATAATATATATAAACACATGAATGATACCTGCACAGTGTGTAAAGCCGTATATTTGATATCCTTCTTTGCAGGTACAGTAAAAGCTTCCAGGTGTATTCACACAGTTATGGTCACATGTTGTATTGAGTTCACATTCATTGATGTCTGTTAAAGGTAAACAGATTAACATAAGTCAATATTATCACTGTAAAAATTTAAGGTAAAAATACTTTTGTCCAATATTTCTATTGAAAAAGTATAAATGCTGTATTATTACGACAAAAATTATTTTATGTTTTGCACATTTCTTTGCTTTTGCATGCAAATATCATTAGCCCAAATAATAAGGGCACATGCATTTGCTAGGAAAAAAAGACCATATCTTTATCGAAATATAAAACTTGAAAAAAATATTGCTTGTTACATACACTGCATTGGTAGTCCTTACTTACCGATGCAAACCCGTTGATTATACTGGACTTTAAAACCTTTTGGACAAACACACTCAAAGCTTCCCTCTGTATTCAAACACTTATGACTACAACCCCCGTTATTGATGGCACATTCATCTTCATCTAAAATAATAACCACAAATGCTCTATGTTAGGTCAAAAAGAAGATATCACAGGACGAAACTCTGCCATTTATTTTACTGAAAGGAAACTGAAAGTTTACTGAAGTGTGACTCAATGACAGAGCCTTCAGTCACCGTTTATATAATACCAGAGTTTCATCCTGTGCTTGCTATATCATTTCTGAAAGCGAGATTTCAGAAATGTATATAATGACAAACCTAGACATGTTTTTCCGTCTTGGTGCAGATGGAAGCCCGTTGGACACTGACATTTTGGTCCCTCCCTAGTGTCTATACACTCCCTATCGCACCCGCCGTTGTTTACATCACAGGATGCTGAAACAAAATGGTATCAAATTATTAGTTTCGAGATAGATTTATGTGAGTCAATAGTGAAAACTGAGAGTTTAAAGTAAAATTTAATACATCAATACATCAACAGTCACGTTTGACATCGTTTCGCAAGTTTTATATGGTCGATACAGTGACCTCGCTAGAAAATACAGCCTATCGTGAAGTCAAATGCTGAATGATGTCCAACAAACTTATTGTTTGACAATTATTTACAAAATGAATTGTCTATAGTGTTATATCTTTCCCCCCTCGATCATGACAAGGAACATACAATGGATGTGACCGGTCGGCTAGGGATGCTTGCTCTTCTGTTGTACCTGATTCCACCTCTGTTTTGGAGTTATGCCTTGCTCCTGATTTTTTCGTAAACTGACTTTGAGCTTAAATACTGTGCGTTATTTCCATAAATCATTCCTCCGATTTTAAATTTGAAGTTTTTTTTCAGAGGCAAGTATGTGCTGGAACATAGGCTTATCCATGGTCGGCAATTTTTATATGACGGTATATTGTAATGATTTGTAGATAATTCGCACGCAGTTCTGACCATTCCTATTGTAATAGACAGTAAAGTTGACAACACATATAGCTCAACCCACTTTTTAAACTCACATGGTTTTTCGCACAAATTAAAGTCACATTGTTATAATGCAAAATTGTGCAATGTGACATCAAAATACCGGTGTATTTCAAAAATGATTTATAACTTAATTCTGATCATATTTCATAACTTTAAACATGATTCACACATAATAATTGGTAGGATTGTTATATGCTCTTCGATGATATATTATGAGAGTTTCCAGATGGTTTTTTCATGGTTTCTCGTCAAATGCAACTGTCTTAATTTGTATCCGGTCATTTTAAAGCATACTTTTGCCTTGCGTAAATACAGGAACAGTGCAGCTCATGTAACTTCTGTATTTTTTGTACATTAATATGACACTAAGGCGCAAGATGATAGAAGTATTTCTCATCTGTTCGACTGCGATTTGTGAAAAAGGTGGCATTTTTTCAGGGTAAATTCCTGAAATCTAGCATCATGAAAGATACCTTCCAACGCAAAATTTCAAAGTTTCAGACCATAAATGTAAAAGAATTTTCTTTTTAATATTTACAATTTACTGTGGTGCAAGATAAACAATACTTTATTATCCCATCTTACACATGATTTCTTTATGCAGTTTTGTCATTTTTCGGCGCTGCATTTAGACAAAACCAAGACAAGTATGGAAAATGTGCAAAGTACCTAGAAAAAATACTCATCTGTAGGAAGTCAATTTGAACATTTCAACCAAATAGTATCATAGAAAGTTCGATTAATTAATTGTTAAACACTTATGATAGAATCATACACATTTTACATCATACATTTTATAAACAAATTTCCTTTCGGGACATTGACTTTCAAAACTTAAGATAATGATTTTAGAGAAAATGCACCTTTGATTTGAAATATTTGATAATATAATAGTTATGTCTCACACTGAATCTCGATAATTTTAAGTTTTATTGCAAGAAAAATGTGACTTTAATTTGTGCGAAAAACCACGTGAGTTTAAAAAGTGCGTTGAGCTGTGTACGTATATTACATGTATTATTTGTTTGTTTGTTAAGCATCTCTTAACAGAATTTTTCAATCATATTGAGAAACCAACACATGCCGGCGGAGGGCTGCAAATTGAGATTTAAAGTAGTGTTAACATTGTGGACGAATTAAATAAATTTGCACCATGGTTCCAATTTACTAGCACTTTTGAAATGAAAGAAATATCAAAACTCATAGTACCTTTTCGTCCTCGAGCAATTTGGGGTACCATAAATTTTACATGTGAGAAGAAAAATGACCTCGCTCAGCCAGGAACACCTATATAATATACTTTTTGACGACTGAAACTGTCGAATAAAAGGGACACTCTGTACATGTGGATTTATATGTTTGTTTCATGACATAATAAAATATTTCTCTTTTGAACTTGGTGCACTTTGATATGTAATGAAATGGTCCAAGATCCGCAGACATATCAATTACTAAAGTTGGACTGCCAGTAAACATGACATTTGGCACTAGACCCCTTGGTTCCGTAAAGATATCAGTTATAACCTTTTAATTGGAAATCCTATTAAAATGTCATTAAGACAAGACTTTTATGATTTTTAAATGACTGCTCGTATTATCTAACTTGTTAGAACATTGCAATAAACTGTCATGGTATTTCGACGAGGAAAACTATTCTTATTCCATTGTTCAATGCAAGATAAAAAGAATGTTGGATATCGAGCAATTTTAGCTTTTTGAAGGTTTACTGATTATTTCCACATAAAGGGTATAACAATAATGATCAAACAGACGAAATGTAATGTGCCAACTGAAAATGAGTGCAATAATTATTACAAAAATGATTACATCAAGTTGTTCGGACATTTATTACGGTCTTATACGACATCTTGAATTTTTTTTCGGTTTGATTATGCTTATTGCTGTTTATGTCACATTGCTATGCTGTGATATAGATATCTGTTCATCGAAAGACTATTTTTAACCAGATAATTATTTTCTTTATGCAATACTTTTTTTACGTTTATCAATTCATATTCAAATAAGAATTAAGAAAGAAATAAGAACAAAATTAATCTGAAACATATTGATTTCCAAATAATTGCCATATTTATTTTTCAATGCATTTGTTTTAAAAGGAATATTAAGTATGAATTTACGATATATATTCAAAATGATATAATCCACCTATGTCTCATTTTTAAAACGTGCTTTACACTACTGGTATACTAGGGGGTATCAAAAAGTTCGTGGACTAGCGCCATAAAATTGAAACCGCTTTAGGCACATCAATGAATTTTAAAATATCTAGTGATAATCATATTTTCTATCTATAGAATAAACCACAAATCAAAAATTTTATTTTGTAATAAATTAATAATGTTTTTGTAAGCAATTGTATGTCGAGGCGGCACAACTTCGAACACGTTTTTTCCACTTTAGTATAGCTGAGAAAAACTCTTTTGATAAGAACAATTGATATTCAAAAATCCCGTTAATTCAGGTGTCGGGACACTATTGTTCCATAAAACAAGGAATTTTTACCTCATTCTAGAAGTTCTATGAAAATTTATCGTAAATTTTGCATGGAGTGTCCAAACAAAATAATAAGGCCTTGAAAATGACGTCAAAAAAGGGGAGGGGTTTCCTTTTCCAACATTCTACAAAATTTGCCCCTGAAAAAAAAACTGGTTTAGACCTAGAAAATGTTTTAACTGGCTACAGAGAAATAAAATGCACACAGAGTACTTGTTTTTAATTCCAAAAGAGAGTCAGAGAGAAAAAGGATGCTCAAGAAATGTCGATTTGTAGTCAAGATGTGAAAAATCAATCACGTTAAAAAATGACGTCGTTCATGTGTTGTAGAAATTAAACTCCAAAAAGCAAAATATGTTGGCACAATCAAACGATGATCTCTCCTAATGTATAAATCCATTTACAATATTACATGCATTGAAAGCCGCTGTTCATGACATTGTAAAATCATATAAATAATAGCTCCTGGGAATCTCATGAAAATAAGTGTATGTTGTAGAAGAAGCAGACATTGATAAACAATGACGTTGTCGGAGCTCACGAAACTAACAGCGACTGCGCCAGATGATCATATAAAATCGTATTAATTTTATGATAATTTGGCACCTAAGGAACGTATCAAGCTAAAAAACATTTCTTCAATTTTTGTTGTTTTATGTTCCTTATAAATTTTGAAAGCACAGACTACATAGTATTTATTTTATAGCCTCAGTCCACGAACTTTTTGATAACCCCTCTTACCTATACATGTCTTATTATTTTCCATCAGTAGGTATTTTGGAGCACAGCTGCAGACTGGTCCAGATGGAGAATTTGTGCAGTTGTGCTGACAACCTCCATTTCCAACAGCACACGTTTCTGTTGCAAAAATAGAATCAAAGAAATGTTGTTCATAATTGCCGATTCTAATCAATTTTTAAGGTAAGTCATTTAGTCATAAGATACACAAAAAAGTTTGTAGTCCCCCGAAAACAGGTTTTGATGTAAAAAAGTGGGTTTATAGAGTTCATATACTCTATAAATTCAACAGCTTCAAAGTGTTTTTCGTAAATATTACAAATATTACACCAAGGCGTTTCCAGAACAATTATTATAACGATGTTAAAAAATAACAATTTAAAGAGCATTTTCTGAGATAACTTTGACTGAAGCATTTCGGTATTTCTATGTCAAAAAAGATTTGTTAAGAGAGGAATACCAGAACGCATGCGTACTAACGTTGACACTGTTTTCCGTCACTCATCAGGGTATACCCTGTTCTACAAGCGCATTGAAGACTAGATCCAGAGCTACAGTGATGGTCACAACCCAAGTTCTCTACGCACCACGTTCCAACTGAAAGAAAAGTAATAAGGTCCCTTGAATGTTTGACATTAACATGCATTCTCTGTAAGCACCAAAAAATCTTGGAAACGACATATCTCCGATTTTGATGAAATTTGCACCACAGGTGCACCTTGGTACAAAACCAGCAAATATGGTGTTAGAAGTTTCCCACGTGCACCCGGTTGCCATGGAGACGGATCCATTGAATTTGGCCATTTTCGGCCATTTTTGACCAAACAAAAACATGAAAATTGAGGAAATATGAATGCATTTTTATCTTTATGTAGTGAACTCAAATATAAATCTTTGTATCATAAGAAAACATCAACTGTTAAAGAATACAGGGCATATAACCAGTTATTCCAGAATTGACCCCACTCTTAGAAAACGGTTCTGCAAAATAGCATAGTTTCTCAAAATGTGAGAAATGGAAAATTTGGCATTTTTTGAGAAATTTAAGGTTAAATAAAAAAAATTGTCTACGGAAATTTTTCAAATCATATGCGTGTCGTCAAACGTCAGTATTAGTAGTGTTCCCTCATGAAAAAATTGGAGTGGGATCTCAATGCTATCTTTAGTAACATGTATCTAAAAATAGACATATTTCAGAAAAATCCAAAAAATGAAATTTGGGCAGAGTTTAAGATGCCATTGCTAGGTAATTATGAAATATACTGTAAACCTCAATATGCTAATGTCAGAGACTGGACACCAATAACTACCATGCATATTATTTTCAGGGATTTCCGTTTTCTATTTATAGCTTCAAATGCCTAAATATAGACATGTCTCATAAAATGATGAAAAATGTCAATTTTCCATCATTTTGAAGCTCCACTGAATCATAAATAATAAAAATATGGATCTCTCCAATATTTCATCAATAAGAACAAGGAATAGTATAATATCTCACAAATTATTGAGGACAGGCTCTCATCTCTATAAATAGTACAAATATCTAAAAATAGACACATGTGAAATTAACTGTTTAATGTTGATTTTCTACCAATTCTCAAATTAGAGATGGGAAATTTACCGACTTTCTGTCATTAAATGTAACTGATATTATGTGACTGACAAGAACAAAAGAACATTCAATGGAATGCAGCATGATAAGCAGAGGTTTCCATTTCTATTTATAGTAACACATGTTTGAAAATAGACGTAATGCGAAATATCGGGAAAATGTCGTTTTTTGTACTTTTTTCTAAAATTTTGGATGAATAATTGCTGACTATCTGTTTTTAACTGCTATTGGCATATGGTGACCAACAAGTAAAACAAAGCCTTATATCAAATACAAAATGAGAAGCAGTGGTTTCCATTTCTATTTATAGTAACACATGTTTAAAAATAGACGAACTGCAAAATATCGGAAAAATGTCGTTTTTTGTACTTTTTTCTCACATTTTGGATGAACAATTGCAGACTATATGTTTTTAACTGCTATTGGAATATGGTGACCAACAAGTAAAAGAAAGTATATACGAAATACAGAATGAGAAGCAGAGGTTCCCATTTCTATTTATAGTAACACATGTTTGAAAATAGACGTGTTGCAAAATATCGGGAAAATGTCATTTTTTTTGTACTTTTTTCTAAAATTTTGGATGAATAATTGCTGACTATCTGTTTTTAACTGCTATTGGCACATGGTGACCAACAAGTAAAAGAAAGCATTATATCAAAAACAGAATGAGAAGCAGAGGTTTCCATTTCTATTTATAGTAACATGTGTTTTAAAAAAGACATACTGTAAACTATCGCAAAAATGTCATTTTTGTACTTTTTTCTAAAATTTTGGATGCATAATTGCTGACTATCTGTTTTTAACTGCTATTGGCATATGGTGACCAACAAGTAAAAGAAAGCCTTATATCAAATATAGAATGAGAATCAGAGATTTCCATTTCTATTTATAGTAACATGAGTTTTAAAATATACTTACTGTAAATTATCGGGAAAATGTAGTTTTTTTCTACTTTTTTTCTCACATTTTGGATGAGCAATTGCAGACAATATGTTTTTTACTGCTTTTGGCATTCAGTGACCAACAAGTAAAAGAAAGAATATATGAAATACAGAATGAGAAGCAGAGGTTTCCGTTTCTATTAATAGTAACACATGTTTGAAAATAGACATGCTGCAAATTCTCGAGAAAATGTAGACTTTCGCACTTTTTTCCTAACATCAGGGATGGTCAAAGTGCAGACAAACGGCTTTTATTTGTTATTGACAAAATATGACTAACGAGTATGAAAGAAGCTTTAGCTAAAGTGTAGAAGAATAATGTTTAGGGGTATTTTTACATTTCTGCCTATAATAACACATTTATAAATAATCAGGAATATAAAGAATCGTTCGTTTTTCTCAAATTAGGGATATGAAATTTGCGGTCAAACTTTCATTAGCTGTAACTGACATGGCTAATTGTATTCGGCGCTCCAACACGTCCACCTCATTCCAGTACATGTATCACAAAAATATATTCTCCCTGCATTAAAACACTCAAATGACAGCGATTTTCTTAATGAATTAAGCATTATCGTTTATATTCAGGTCGACAGCCCGAGCCCGATTGAATTTTTTTTGTTAGGTGCATCCAGAAAATTTCACTAGGAGGCGGTGAATCAAATCACTATGTCAGTTTAAACTAGAACTGTCAAACGGGACTAAATACCCCCGCTGGGTTTTTCCAGAGGGGTTAAATCATGAATATTTAATGGATCTTAGAGAAAAGTGAAATGCTAAAACATTTTAATGCAAATGTAATTTCTCATAATATTTTCATAAATGAAACGAAGGCTCATCCTTATAAAAAAAAAACCAGACTAAATATACGGACCAGACATGAATTATGAACTTTTTCTGTCAGTGACCTTGGATTAATGACCTTGGATCAAAGTCATGACAGAAAATCAGATAATAAGCAAGGTTTGTGTGAAGTAGTAGATTGAGGTTTAGCCATAAAAAAGATATGGACCAGACACATATAATAAAATTTTTTGTGGCTTTGAACTTCCCATAATGATTTTGCGTCAAGGTCATGACACACTCTTAGGTCATGAGCAATCTTTGTGTGAAATAAGAACCTACCAAGTTCATCCGTAAGAAAGATATGGAGTGGACACGAATTATGAAATTTTTCTTCAATGACCTTGAATTTCCCAAAATGACCTTGGTTCAAGGTCATGACACCCTTAAGTCATGGACAGTCTTTGTGTGAAATGAGAACCTACCAAGTTTATCCATAAGAAAGATATGGACTGGACACGAATTATGAAACTTTTTCAGTGACCTTGAACTTCCATAAAAGACCTTGGGTCAAGGTTATGACACAATCTTAGGTCATGAGGAATCTTTGTGTGAAATAAGAACATGCCAAGTTTATCCGTAAGAAAGATGTGGACAGGACACGATTCAAATTTTTTTTTCAGTGATCTTGAACTTCCCAAAATGACCTTGGGTCAAGGTCATGACACACCCTAAGGTCATGGGGAAATTTTGTGTGGGGTAGTAGATTCTAATGTTCCTCATTAAGGAAGATATGGACCGGACACTTTTGCACAGACAGATGAACTGATGGACAGACGGACAAGCTGATTCCTATATACCCCCAAACTTCGTTGGGGGGTTAATAAAGTTGAATATTCCAGGGATTCAGATCACCTTTGATCCATGCATGCTTTACCAGAATTTGTTCAAAAGAAATCCGAAATTTGCCCAAATGTTTTGAGTTGGCTTACTTTCGATTTCTCTCTCTCTCTATACATGCATATTTCTCTAGAATTTAACTAAAGCATTTAAAAATATTTGTTGTTTTGGTTTTATAAATTTATTTTACGTATAAACATACATGTAGTTGCTGAAACCGGGGGGGGGGGGGGTTTCAAAGATAGACATCATATAGGTAATAAACATTTGGGAGTAGATTTAGCCCCCCCCCCCCCTTTAAGCAGGCATGTTGCAGTGTAGTCGAATTAGGGTAAGTGGTAGTGTTTGAAAGAAAAAAAATGGTACTGAAAGAAGTTCGATCCCCCTCCTATGAAATAGGATTTCATGTTTGGACCCCCTCTTCACTTTTAATTTGCTTCCGACACGAATTTTGTTATGACCCTAGAGTTTTATCTCCTTTTTTAAGACTTTATTTTCATGTGATTGTCATGGCAATAAGCTGTCATACATTGGTATCAGTGTTTGAAAAAGATTCCTTGTTACGTTTTAAAATACTACTACTACTACTAAAAATTAACTTGTCTTTATGAGAGGATGGGGAGTAACTTTAGTTACAGAAATGGCTTTGATATTAATAAGTGTTTAAACAAACTAATATTGATCAGAAATATAAATTATTAGCTTAGTGAAAAATCGAACAGAGAAAAGGTATTATTCCTTCATTCAAGGATACTTTGTGGCAAGTTAAATTGAAATTGACCCAGTGGTTCTTGATAAGAAAATGAAAATATAAAAAGTTTACAATGAGAACGACAACGACTGACAAGGCACAAATGATCATAAAAGCTCACTTGAGCCTTTATTTTAAAACATATTACTATAAATAGAAATGGAAACCCAGCTTATTATGCATTTCGGTTACTGCTCTTTTGTACGTGTCGGTTACATTATGTCAGTTACAGCTAATGAAAGTTTGACTGCAATTTCCTATCCCTAATTTGAGAAAATAGAATGATTCTATATTTTCTTGATTAATTGCTGGATGTCTATTTATAACTATACGTAAGTATAGGTGGAAATGGAAAAATACCTTTACACATTATTCTTATACATTTTTGCTAAAGCTTTTTCATGCTCGTTAGTCACCTTCTGTCAATAACAAATATCAGCAGTTTGTCTGCACATTATCCATTCCTGATGTTACGAAAAATGCAAAAGTCTATATTTTCTCAAGAATTTGCAATATGTCTATTTTCAAACATGTGTTACTATAAATAGAAATGGAAACTTATGCTTCTTATTCTGTATTTCATATATGCTTTCTTTTACTTGTTGGTCATTGAATGCCAATAGCAGTAAAAAAAACCTATTGTCTGCAATTGCTCATCCAAAATGTGAAAAAAAAAGTAAAAAAAAACTACATTTTCCCGATAATTTACAGTATGTCTATTTTTAAACTCATGTTACTATAAATAGAAATGGAAATCTCTGCTTCTCATTCTGTATTTGATATAAGGCTTTCTTTTACTTGTTGGTCACCATATGCCAATAGCAGTTAAAAACAGATAGTCAGCAATTATGCATCCAAAATTTTAGAAAAAAAGTACAAAAAATGACATTTTTCCGATAGTTTACAGTATGTCTTTTTTAAAACACATGTTACTATAAATAGAATGGAAACCTCTGCTTCTCATTCTGTTTTTGATATAATGCTTTCTTTTACTTGTTGGTCACCATATGCCAATAGCAGTTAAAACAGATAGTCAGCAAGTATTCATCCAAAATGTAAGAAAAGAGTACCAAAAAAATGACATTTTTCCGATATTTTGCATCACGTCTATTTTCAAACATGTGTTACTATAAATAGAAATGGAAACCTCTGCTTCTCATTCTGTATTTCGTATATACTTTCTTTTACTTGTTGGTCACCATATTCCAATAGCAGTTAAAAACATATGGTCTGCAATTGTTCATCCAAAATGTGAGAAAAAAGTACAAAAAACGACATTTTTCCGATATTTTGCAGTTCGTCTATTTTTAAACATGTGTTACTATAAATAGAAATGGAAACCACTGCTTCTCATTTTGTATTTAATATAAGACTTTCTTTTACTTGTTGGTCACCATATTCCAATAGCAGTTAAAAACAGATAGTCAGCAATTATTCATCCAAAATTTTAGAAAAAAGTACAAAAAACGACATTTTCCCGATATACCGCATTACGTCTATTTTCAAACATGTGTTACTATAAATAGAAATGGAAACCTCTGCTTATCATGCTGCATTCCATTGAATGTTCTTTTGTTCTTGTCAGTCACATAATATCAGTTACATTTAATGACAGAAAGTCGGTAAATTTCCCATCTCTATTTTGAGAATTGGTGGAAAATCAACATTAAACAGTTAATTTCATATGTGTCTATTTTTAGACATTTGTACTATTTATAGAGATGAGAGCCTGTCCTAAATAATTTGTGAGATATTATACTATTCCATGTTCTTATTGATGAAATATTGGAGAGATCCATATTTTTATTATTTATGATTCAGTGGAGCTTCAAAATGATAGAAAATTGACATTTTTCATCATTTTATGAGACATGTCTATATTTAGGCATTTGAAGCTATAAATAGAAAACGGAAATCCCTGAAAATAATATGCATGGTAGTTATTGGTGTCCAGTCTCTGACATTAGCATATTGACTTTTACAGTATATTTCATAATTACCTAGCAATGGCATCTTAAACTCTGCCCAAATTTCATTTTTTGGATTTTTCTGAAATATGTCTATTTTTAGATATATGTTACTAAAGATAGCATTGAGATCCCTCTCCAATTTTTTCATGAGGGAGCACTACTAATACTGACGTTTGACGACACGCATATGATTTGAAAAATTTCCGTAGACATTTTTTTTTATTTAACCTTAAATTTCTCAAAAAATGCCAAATTTTCCATTTCTCACATTTTGAGAAACTATGCTATTTTGCAGAACCGTTTTCTAAGAGTGGGGTCAATTCTGGAATAACTGGTTATATGCCCTGTATTCTTTAACAGTTGATGTTTTCTTATGATACAAAGATTTATATTTGAGTTCACTACATAAAGATAAAAATGCATTCATATTTCCTCAATTTTCATGTTTTTGTTTGGTCAAAAATGGCCGAAAATGGCCAAATTCAATGGATCCGTCTCCATGGCAACCGGGTGCACGTGGGAAACTTCTAACACCATATTTGCTGGTTTTGTACCAAGGTGCACCTGTGGTGCAAATTTCATCAAAATCGGAGATATGTCGTTTCCAAGCCCTATAGTAAATTTTTTGGTGCTTACAGAGAATGCATGTTAATATCTAATAATTAACTGTAGTAATAAGTGCATTGAAGTTCTAGTAATATACGTCGATTTATCTTATTTGATCCTCGGACATTAATAACATTGTTAACAATTAAACAAAAACTTAAAGCGATGAAAGTGAGGATTCTTCCCCAATTAGCAGCGCAATATATTTGCAAAACAAACGCCTTATCAACAAATTTAAAGAGGGATTTTAGTGAAGTTTGTTAAACACAATCTCAAATTCACTGAAAAAGAGCTGGGCAAATCATCAGGTTTGCTTTCAGAATAATACATGTCACTTATCCACTTGGATTAACATTAACAGCTAATCACCCTTAACATGTACTGAAGAATAACGCTGATATAAATTCTAATGAGCACGCTGCAATGTTAAACTAGAGGGGTCTTGTGATAAGAAGAAATTTAACCTGACAAAACATTTAACAGGCACTTTGTTTATGACGTAAATTGCAGGCAATCGACATGGAGAGTTACATTGTTAAGATTTTGAAAAGGAAACTTACATTGGCATGATTTCCCGTCCTTGGACAGAGAGTATCCTGCATTGCACTTGCACTCATATCCTCCCAAAGTGTTGAGGCATTGGTGTTGGCACCCGCCTTTGTTTTGTAAACATTCGTTCTTATCTAATGAAAGAATGTCGTAACATAAGTAAAAAATAAAAAAAGTGTACTTTAGTGATGTTAATGAGGCTGTGATCTCATTCAGAATAATGTTACAGAGAATGCTATTATGATACCACGAACTTTTTAAAATGTATATGTGTATGGATTTTTATAAACCTATAAATTGTTCGATGCATTTTTATTAAAATTGATTATTTTTTTTACTTCCACAATGCTAAGTAAATTAATCTATGTAGATTACCCTATTGAAAAAGTACTTCGACACTGAAGAAAATAAAACAATGAAGATGGTAACAATTTCACCCTCTCTCTCTCTCTCTTACTATTTTTAAGGCCTAACTACATGTAAGTTAAGTTTTTTTTAACTTAAAACTTTTATCGTGTAAGTAAATTAAGACAAAAAAAAATAAAGAAAAAAAAGAGAAATGCCTTTGGTCGTATTATTGCTTGTTATGTTCTGTATATAAATTTGTACTGTTCGTAGTTTTTGGATCTCGATTACTCGATATTTTACAACTCTTTTCTTCTAGTAACACATATATGATAAAATTTTCCCAATGTTTTCCTTTCCCGATAGAATGCATCTAGTAGATCAGTTTAACATTTACAATGTATTTTTTTTTAATTTAATCTTGGAGCGAGTATGCCACATCTGTTTCATATTTGGATGTTAAACTGGCTGTAGACGACAACGACCAACTAACAACTACTGTGAAAACATCAATTTTCGTTGGGGACTAATGCTCGATGGTTTCGCTAGTCACTCTTAACCACGAATTTACATCTCCCGACGAAAGTTTATTTTGTAAGCATATTGATTCACGGAATTACATCCCCATGAAGAAGTAAAATGTTGCTAGCCCACGAACATTGACCTCCTTTCCTCATTATATGTAGTTTTGCTATGATATCACCTGCATATAATTTTTACGTCTCCAATCATATTCGATACCCAAGAATATTATCTAAGTATGATCATTTTTTAAACCATGATGAGCTAATGAGAAATAAGTGGATGTTATAGGAATTGCAACAACTTTGTTTAAAGTCAGCATTTCTTAAATTTTTTGGTTGTTGATATAAACGTATAAACAAGTATTAACTATTATTTGGCAGTATATTGACTGACTCACATAAACAGTCTATTTTTATTATCAGTTTGAGGAAATAAGCATTTTTATAACCGATTGTGTGTTTTTTAATTATACACAATACTCAAAAAAGAGAAATGTTTCAATTATCTTTTTAGAGTTTCTTATGAATTAACTCGCATATAAAAGTAGCGGATACTAAGGATCATTCCACTAACAAAGTTTTGTAGAAATGACTGTCAAATTTTTGTGAAATTCTGAACGTATTCTAGATTTTCAGCTCATAAAAATACTTGAAATACCAGTATATACTTTTAGTAAATATAGAAAAAACGTACATTCGTTCATAACTTATAATTTTTGCATTGAATTTATTATTCGTTATCTTTTTTTCTTTTATTGTTTCCGTATAAAACGTGCAAGTAAGAATAAGCCAAAATTGTAATAAGTGCTAAGGTCTAGATTTTGCATTGTGTTGATGACGTTAGGTTGTTTTTGATGTTTAATTGACCACCCCTATAGATGACGTAATTATTTTAAATGAACAAATATGAATCTTGAAAAAAGAGCATGAAAGATTGTTGAAAGAAATCTGACTAATGTACTGGTGCGATGACAAATAACCTTTAATCAACAATTTAGTGAATTTAGTTTAGTTTTGAAAGTTATATACTGAAAGCATACAGTCACGTAGTTTTAATCAAAATGTCTCAAACATTTTGTTTTGATTTACTGCATACTATCATATACAGTAAATCAAATGCATTAAAAAAAATAAACTTCTTTTGAGTATTACCGATACAGTTGTGTCCATCAGTGTCCAGATCAAATCCATTTTTGCAGGTACAGGTATAATTGCCTGGGGTGTTTTGACAGAAATGTACACAGCCTCCGTTGTCATAGTTACATTCGTCAATTTCTAGATAAACATATAACGATTTAATCTTGATGATTCATCGCAAAACTTAAATATAACTTAAACAATCATTTAAAAGTTAGTTGATATCCCTAACAAAATTTTACCATAATTTACTAGAGTTTGCTATATTCATCGGTTGTAAATACATCGATTGTCAATAATACTTCACTCATTTACTCTTTTTGGTGTTTCTGAGCCTTAAATTTTCCTTGAATACATAATAGTGATGAATGTTTTAAAAATAGTATGTAAAAACAAATGTCAAGGTATGTAGTATAACTTTCATCTACTATAGTAAAATTTATATTAAAGGATAACTTATTTTACTGTAATATTTCTTTGTAAGGGATGATATTGTAAAACACATTCAGTACTATAAAAATAGTCTCAATAAGCAGAACTAGATTACATTAATTTTCGTTTAAAAAGAATTTAACTTTCTTCTTGAATGAATTACCGTAACATAATTTTCCATTTCCATAGTAACCGGGTTTACAACGACATCGATAACGCCGCCTTGTGTTTATACATATGGCATCCCTATGACAATTGTGGGTACCTTTTTCACATGCATTACCTGAAACATAAGAATAGAAAAGGTAATTAAGAGATATTCAGTCACATCTGCTAAAATAGATATATAAAAAGATCTCAGTAGAGTGTAGTTAATCATTGATTGCATTTGAAAAGAAGGTTTGATTTGCGGAAAATATGTAGCCGTAAGGAAAACATCTTCCTTTAGTACAGAACCACTTCTTGTGGTCACTGGCGTGGTAACCAAGTCAATTGACGTCCCGTCTACTTGTGACAGTCATCGATTTATCCTCAATTGACCCCTGTTACCTATCAGGTCAATCTAGGGTCAATTTCCTGGAGCCAGATGCATTTTGTTTTGGTCAAATTTCTCATAAAGATTTCCAGACCCAATGGTCATTGCATACTGTGTGGTCTGATCAAACGTAACGAGGAATTACGAATTCTGTGCATTATCTATAATATCTCTGAGCATTTGCATTCATTAATAAAGAGTATTGTAAGACAATGGTACTTTTAGACCCCGTGATGTTTTGTTCAATTTGTTATTGCTGTTAAATGCAAATAAAAGCAAAGATATTGTCTTGCTGTTTTCTTTAATGTTGTCGCACGCTGAACAACGTATTTGCTTCAAGGTTATGGCCTCTCAAACTTTACAACCGGAAAAAGGCATTATTAATAGAAAAGACTGTTGACAGGCACAGAGCGAAGGGGACTATTAAGTTTACATATCAATCATATTTTGGAACGATCCTCTTCACTGATAAAAACACATTTTATTATGTAAAATTAATTTATTGTTCAGGTAAGGTGCGGTCTCAAACGACCACCTTGTAGCAGACCCTAAAACCTCCTATAAATATTTTCATGCATTTTGCTTTTCTCTTTGAATTTAAAATTATGTGGTTGTGGTGTATTTTAACAGTACCGATTAAACCATGTAAATGCTACTGTTATGTTGACTATTAAGAAAATATCATTTCATTTTTCTTTTCTTTTTTAATTTTAACTCTCTGAAAAGAAAATATTTTAATTATCTAAGACACAGTTGCAATTTCAATTTTCATCATGAACAATTTAATTGAATGACGTTGTATTCAAGAAAGCTACCAAACATAGCAGGATGTTTATACAGCAGTAGCTCATCTTTTATCTGCCAGTCAGATAAATGTAAAGGTAGTTAATAATGGAAGACTTTCTGGTTCATTGATACAAATTCAGATGTTTTTTGACAAATACATAACGTTATGTAATTTTAATTTTGTAAGAAAGCTTTGATAAATACCAACATTAGATGTAAATCAAGTATCTAGTAAATAGCATAAATGATTTTTTTCTAGTTCTTCATACACATTCTAATAACCAAAATATAAATTAATCTTCGAAATACCCACTGATAGACTGCAAAAATTGATTTGATTAATTGGGAAATTGCCAGCTGTAATAATATATTTACATTAAATTGATACCTGTGCTGCATGAGCCAGTCTGTTGGAATTGTTCAAATTAATTTTTTGTATTCGTCATTGGGATAGGGATGGGGGCACTCTGACCACAAGAAAACTCTTCAAAGAAACGAAGTTTACGTAATATGAAAATTGAAGATTTTTTTATCCTAGTTTTCCTTTTTGAATCTTTATAGACACTGTGACACTATTTTAATATGAGGGATTCATAAAACGTAATTGGATACTTGATCTAAAGGTCTAAAATGATGTTTCAAGTTTGCTATTTATCGTAACAAAATTTCTTTTTAAATCTTGTGTCAAAATGAAAGATTGGAATTTACAATTACGACGCATCTTTATTGAAAATCGGTCTCATAATTTGACAGAGAAATTTGACACTTTTTACAAATACAGAGACGATATGATCTCATCCGATTGATATCAGAATTTCAGAAATGTGTGGATATAATAGATTTCAACCAAAGTGATATCAGTTTATATTCAGCAAAAGGTAATTACATCTATATATCAAATGAAAAGACAAGTTTATTCAAAATGACAGCATTGATCTTCAATTTAACATTGATGTAGAAATGAAGCAAAATATGCTGAAATTCCAAAGATCCGTTTAGTTCAATCGTCGTGCTGTAATAACTTTACCATCACTATTTAAAAAAATCAGGCCAAATAAGACCAGTTTAAAAAAATTTTTGAAAGTATTTTCCCTGATTTTAATCAACATCTATGATGTTTGCAATGTTAACTCTGGACGCAAATACAGTATAGCGTTAAGATCAAAACATAGGAAGCAGCATGTATTGCACTTTCGCTTCTGTAAAGATTCTTAACTGCTCGAGGTCATACGCATTCAAACTAAATCAGAAGCTAATTGTCATGTTATCAGCAGGAAATAATCTATATTGGTTTATCTAATCAAATGTGCATGGAAAACAAAAGAAAACAAATGGATGCTTAATGAAATTTTGTGAATAACACATGCATTGATATGACCACGTGGTTTTGCTTGAAATCTCCCTCTCCCTTTTCACTCTCAACACATTCACTGACTCACTCTCTCTCCGTGACCCCCCTCTCTCTCCTGTCTTTCTGACATCTCTCCCCTCTCTCTTTTATTCTCTCTCTCTCTCTCTCTGACTCTCTATCCTCTCTTACATACCTTTACGCCGTCGTTTGGTGCTATTCTTTTTACATTCCATAATGTCCATTAACATAATCAAGAGCAGACACAAACAGATGACGCTAACTTTTGCCGTCATTGCCTTTTCACGTAACCCTGTGGTTGGCACTTTCAATTTCTATCAATATTTTTCCAATCCCTTATAGGCAAATATTATCCAAAAATCAATATTTTTGGTAAAAAGATACGAATAACAAACTGATGAAATTTCAATGATGGTGGCATTTCGGATCAAATTTTAAAACTTTCGTCAAAAAGATGCTTTTGAATAAAAGATCATAAATGTCCACAAAACTATATCAGCGACATAGTTCAACGTGATTGGTTACTTGACGAGTTTGCCGTAACAATGGAACACATCATTGTTAAAAAGCCACAAAACACACAACTTTACAAAAGAGTCTGATACGAGAAAAGTGTCCATTTGCAAAGTTCTTATTTTTCATCCAAAATAAGTGAAAAAATGCATATGTTAAATTCTTCAACATTAATATGATCCATTATTGTTTCATTTTGAATTCACGAAACAACAATGCAGGAGACGAATTTTAGGTCCTCTTTTTATTGCCGCATCCCAAACTGCACATGGTAAAAAGAAAGAATGTTTATAAGTGTGAAACACGTCTTTACTGCAAAGTGCACTTCCTCGAGTAAACTATATCGTCATTTTAAATGCCAATTTCATTATCATTACGGTAAGCTAGATTCATTTTTCTGTGTGTTGTCGGGTTTAATCAGATATCAGCCGATGATGTATGACATTTAACAAAACAATACAACTCTCGTTCCCTTGTCCATGTCTCTTCTAAAAGAGTTCTAAAACCATGATAGAAGTCAGAGACATCTTGGTAACACTAGAGCAATTCGTTTTCCTTAAACGATTCCTGTGCAGGTCGGAGACAAAATAAAGTTGTGGCCCAATGTAGACATAAAATAGAGTGAAGTATTCTTACACGTTTCAGTATATAAAAAATAAAATATTCACAGATGGTCGCTTTTGTGACAGAGGAATCATGAATGTCTGTGGACCTTCAATCGTGTTTGTTTTATTGCGTCTGAGGTCGATCCTAATTGAATGAAGAATTTGGTCATAAAATACGTGCGGTATCATAATAATCTAAAGGTCACAAAATGCTTCAAGAATCAAGATTTACTTTTTTAATCACTGTATTGTCATATCAGAATGTCCTTGCTTTTCAGTTTCGAAAAAGAAATCAATCAGTCTTTCAATGTCATTAAAACAAAACATTTGTGACTTCTGGCAAAAAATGATGGTATTCCTTTCAATAGTAAAACATTTTCGAAAAATATATTTCATCAAATCATTTAGCCTTTTTAGTACATTTGTGATTTCTTGCTTTGCAAAAAAAACTGACGAATCTCTTTCAATAGTATTATATTTTCATTTTATGAGAAAAACACTATCGTGCTAATTACAAGGGCAGTTTAATTCAATATATAAAGGCCTGAAAGATCATAAAAATAATTGTTGTTATTTCTAACATTAAATGCAAAAAATACCTCGTCAACACCATATTAGTTGCAATTTCTGTGTTATTTAAAGCTGAACTGTTATTAAAAATCACTTATAATCGTATTCTCCCTCCTACGATTATAAAAACGAACAGTTTTAACCCAATGTGATCTGTATCAAAGCGCCAATTATCTGCTGATGAAACAGGCAAGAAACCTTTAAAACGAAAATACTGTTGTTTTCAAGTAATGTTCATCCATCTATCTTTATCAGATGATTCACTCTATGCGTCGATTGCATCAAGTTCTCCAGCCGATTCTTAAAAAGGCCAGAAGGTCCAACAACAGTGACATTTTATCTTTAATACCAATAAAGGTAGTTAAATATTTAAGCATCTTCTTGTTAACATGATTGAAACAGAAAAGAAAAGGAAATATTGTGTACATCATACATGTGTTTCTCTGCTAGGCTTTTAAATCAATTTGAAATGTTTAGTGATATGTGCTAATTTTCCTTTTTTAACATTTATATTATTTCAAATGAAAAAAAATATAGCCATGAGAAGAAGAATAAGTTTTGCCACATTCATTGTCTAGACAAACTAAATATGAACTTATTTGACCCTTTCTAACCGTGTAGATGTTCACATATAATGGTATACAAAATATCACCTGTACATGTAATGATGGATCATATACTTTTCTTTCATTATGGTATTAAAGACGGCAACACTGAAAAGAATTTCTGTGTATACATTACGACAGTAGAGTTTATCTTCCATTCACTTGGCGGGAATTACGGTAATAAAATAATAATTACATCGTCGGTCGTCTGCGATCGCACATAAAACTTCTGCCTTCGTGTAAACTGCGAGAGAAATTTCTTATATTCCTAGATGAGATACACGAGTGATGAAGTTTGGG